GCGTCGGGTCGTTGATGGGATCGGGAAGGTATATCTTGCCCTCTGCAGGCTTCGTCATGTCCATGGCTCGTCCTACAGGTACGACACCTGTTAAACCCGCCATTGCGCCGACGAACTTGCGCTTCATCGATTTATCGGCGATTAGGAACTGAATTCGGCGGTCGGATTCTTTCTTTACGACTCTCATCAACATGAGAGGGTCGACAAACTGCCATCTGTCAGCATACATCCTGGCAGAGTAGCGTCGCAACATGTCCTACCTGGTTCGCGTGCGGTGCGCACACGAAGATGACCGGGCCTTCCTTTGGCACCTTCCAACTACTTCTGGGATGCACTTCTCGGAAGAAGAGCTCCACCAGGATCGAGAATGTCCATAAGAAGGCATCGTAGACGTATTTGTTCATGACGGCGAGCTTCTTGCCCTTCGCGTCTCTCTTCTGGGTCGCCATGGCAGCTACCTAAACCGCAAGTATGCTACCGGCGAATGTAAAGAATACGGTATGCGCCGCCGAGAGGGCGAGGTTGGTGTAGCCTCCTATGGCTGGTGGTGCGTATCCGTCCGCGGACGCGATGGCGAATGCGACAGGAAACGAGGGGTGACGAGACACGAAATGCGCGCACGGCGAAACAGGGTCGCTGAGGATGAAGCTACGATGGAGGCTACAGTAATCTTCCTCGTTAGCATCGGGACGCAGACTCAGACATGTTGTCACGCACCTTCACGTTCTAGCACTTTCTCTATGTAGGTCGCGTGCAGAAGAACATCAGGCCACAGTAAATGGAAGATCCGAGTCTGCGCGGACCTGGATAGCCGATACCCGACGAGCGCTGGCTCTGCTGAGGAAATCAAGCTTTCAGCAGCGCATATCCGCAGCGCTATTTTCGTTGTTGAGCTCGGATATGTGGAGGGTTGCAGATAGGGCCGGGGAAGTGGGATGGGTCCAAGGTTGCTATGTCATCGCACGTTAATTGTTGGCGGCCCTTTTCTAGTGGGGTAGTCGCCAGCTGAGCCCGCTCCACTAAAAGTCACAGCTGAGGATGCGCCACACAGATGAAGGTATCTGGCAAAGTCTACCTACATTGTTAGCTATTTAAATCTCATATTGATGAATGAGTCAAAATCATAATCACACATGCGGATAGACCGAATAAAGGGACCGTTATACATTCCAATCTATCAGAGGGTGCCGTCAAGCGGCCCGGGAATATTGTGGTCTATAAAGCAAGAAGGGTATATATGTACAGTGAAGAAGATGAAGAAAAGATGCAATATGCAGATTAAGGCTTACACCATAGCAAAGACCATCGCCGCCACCAAAATGGTGACAACAGATGTGCTGACGGCGAGGGTAGAGCCAGCGCCGAGGAACTGCTCTGGAGATGTCGGGTTGGGCAAGCTGGTATTAGCAGCTGGCGCCGACATCAACGTGGTAGTAACAGGAGGTACAACCGGCGCTGGCGAAGAGTCTACCACGAGGCCCGTAGTCGCCGATGCTGCTGGTACGTAGACAGTCTCGGTCACGCTGGGTGTGCAGCTGGTTGTCGCAGAGGAGCGAGCGAGAGTCACAGTCCGAGTTACGTTGCGGGCGCAGCTGCTGGATGAGCCTCCGTTTGACTGACCAGTAGGCTTGCCAGAAGCCGAGGGTTGAGAGCTTGAGACTGATGTGCTTGTTACGACGACGACTGAGGAGACAACCTGTGTGGAAGCAGGAGCTTCATCGGCCTCCGGGAACTTCGGGACCAGGTTGTTGTTGTTGTCATTGGAAGGCGCCTCAGTGGATGGCACCTTGCTAGGTGCAGGGGTCTCGCTAGTGACGCTTGACGAGGGAGTAGCTTCGCTGGCAGCTGGGACTTGGCTAGACACAGAGGTGTCTGAAGAAGCGGCGTCGCTTGTTGCAGGAATAGATGATGGCGCTGGCGTAGAGCTAGGCTTGGGGGAAGGGCTGCTTGATGGCTTCGGCGCGCTGTTGCCCTTTGCAGGGAGGGTACCCTTCTCGATCATCAAGAGTGCCTGAGTGACCTCCAAGGCCGATAGCTGCTGGCCGACACCAGAGGTGCCATCCCAGCTTCCAGTGTACCACTTGCTGCCACACGTAACGCCGTCAGTGCCTCCAGAGCAGGCCTTGGCGGCACCGACCGCGGAAGCCTTCAGCAACGGCACGATCTTGTCCTTGGTAAAAGGAGCGACCATAGCAGTCTTAGCAATGAAGCGAGAAAGGTATGCCTTGAACGATTGCTGATCAAGGTTGCAATGTCGGCCAGATTCGCCCGTCTCGCAAGCCCACTCGTACATGATGTCTGTGGCGTTCTCGTAGGGGCGGAAGAACAGCAGTTCAGCGTGGTCCAAGAAGCCTGAAGTGCGATCCTTCCAGGTGCTATCACCGTTGGTGTAGTCGTACATGAAGGCCGATCCATGGAGATACATGGCGTTGTTGTAGGTCCACTGGGTCTTGTCGGCGACTGTGGCGCAGTTGGTCTTGTCGTCTGTGCCATCAAACACCTCGTACTGGTCGCTGATGAGTCCAACCTTCTTTGTCCAGTCGTAGATCTTGACAGCCCAGTCCGCGTACTTTTGCTCGCCGGTGTAACGAGCAAGGCGTGCACCGAGGGCGAAAGCGCAGCCGTTGGAGATTGAGTTCTTGTAGTTGTAGCCGTAGTCGTTCTCAGGGTACACCTGCCACTTCAGTCCTCCACCGCAGCTCGTCTCGTCCCAGCGTCCGACGATGTTCTCGAAAGCGTTGGTCACGACCTCGAGGTAGCTCGCAGGCGCATCTGCGGGATCGGGGAACTGGTATTCGACCGCGCTCATGACGGCAAGCGCCCAGAAAGCCTGGTCATCATTGCCGGTCTCTCCTTTACGGTAAGACAGGATGAAGTCGTTGTCAGGGCCGTAGTTGGCAGTCAATGCCTGTTGGAGCGTCTTGACATGTGAATCGTCGCCAGTGAACTGGCTGTACTCAATCATGCCACCCCACGCGGCGCCACCCTCCCACCAGTAGTGGGGCTTCGGCCAGACTCCGACACCCTCAATGGGCGTGCCTGTAGCGTTGCCCTGGTACATCGACATCAGTCCGTACGCATACTGTCGGGTGACGGCGAGGATTGACGCTGTCTGAGGTTAGCTTTGTAGCCACGATTGCTGCGAATGTCCTCACCTTCATCCTCGGGGTCGAACTTGATACCGCCGGCGGTCGCTGTAAGGGCACTGAGGAGCACTGCTCCAGTAGTTGTGAAGTACTTCATATTGGTTGAGAAACGAATGAGTAGAGTTCAAAAGAAGGTAACGACAAAAAGTCGGAAGAGAGAAATGGAAGAAAAGAACGATTGTATAGCGCCGAGGCTGCAGAATGTGAAGGAGAGTAAAGCACGCATGGTGAATGCCGGGAGTAGGGCTTATCTAAGATCCAACTCGCGTGGACCCATAATTCTTTCGGTGAAGGCAGCCGGGGAAGGAGCGCGCGGGTGCAGCAGGGATTGGGTAAGCGGGCGTTTCGAAACGCAGGAACGGATTTGGTGTCGGCCAATGGCTAACTAGTACGCATGTTTCAGGTCGGCGGCTGGCTGCTTTTTGGGTCTCTGCCCCTCTGATCATTTTGGCGCCACAGCAAAGTCGTCCGGGCGGCTTGTCCTTCATTATCTGGCCTCCTCGAATCCCTTGTGATCACTGGTCGTGCCCGATGTGGTGTTACTTTGCTATTGTTTGGCTGCTAAGAAAAGATCGTCGCGTGTCGCAGTGCTCTCACGACCAACACCAGGACCGACTGCACGACCATCTCTTACGCTACGGATGATCAGCTAGAGGTACACTACCTGCACGAATGAGGGGCGAACGGAGCCGTGGTAATGCTAAGAGCGCGGAGATCATCACAACCATAAGCAGCAAGAAAGAATGTTGAATAATGAAAGTCAGCTTACGGACCCATGGCGTCGTTCATGAGGCGGAGTTTAATCAAAATCCTCCAAGTTATGCCTCGGCCCGTCTGCGATCATGCGCTGAGGCGTCTCGTCCCAGGTCTACCCAGAACGCCCACATATATGAATAGTACGCGAAAGTAACATAGCCACTCAGTTGACCCCCACAAGCCTCTTCTCCTTCTTCTCCTTCTCTGATTCGCGTAGTGCGGCGATCTCCTCTCTGGTCATGTTGTACGATGCGTTGACTTGGTTGAACGGGTTCTCGGGGTGCTTCTCGAACTCCTTGCGGATTTGATCGATCTTCTGCTGCCGGCGCAGGCCCTTCTCGTCCTTCATCTCGTCCAATCTTCGCTCCTCAAACGCAGCGTATGCGGCCTTGAAGCGCCTCTCGGGATGGCGATCCACCTTGTCTTGGCTGTTGCCCGTGATATCCAGAGCGTCGAGGGCGTTGTCGATACCGGTGGCGTTGAGCGCGCCAGGCTTCGCGTCGAAGGAGCCAAGCGCTGAGTCGATACCGCCCCCGCGGGGCTTCTTCTCGGCTTTGGGGTTCTTGCCCTTGGGCTTCGAGGGCAGGGAAGCCTCCTCTTCGCGGAGCAGGGCTTCCTTCTCAGCCTTCTTACGGGCTGCCTCAGCGGCCTTTTCTGCTGCCGCCTCGCTGCCATCTGTTAGCTACTGCGTAAGTAGGGGCGGAGATGCACGTACGCCTTTGCATTTGACTTTGCGCCCTTGCTCCATTCCTCTGCCTCCACCTTTTCAGCTTGTTGGTTCTTTGCAGCCTGCTTCGATGCAGCGGCGTCTGCCTTGCGGGCTTGTCCTTGTGCCTTCTTCGAGCCCCCTCCATCGCCGGCGGCGGCGCCCTTTTTCGCCATTGTGTTGTGAAGTATGCGAGATCGTATCTGTTTCCGAAGTGGATGAACGTGTAGTGCGATTATCTCGACGTGTGGTGTGTAGTTGCGAGTGAGTCAAAGTTTGGTATGCGGCGCCTGACAGCGGCTTGCGGGCATCAGCGGGGCACAATGGCGTCAGACAACACCGACACGCGTGAATGACTAAGCAACACCGAAAGCTCTTTCCGCGCGTGCAGCAGTAGTCGAAAGCGTCCACATTCTTGTTAAACAGATGGAATGTCATTCCTATCGAACCTAACTACCTGCCCTTATACTATACGGATAAAGAGTACCTCGACAAAGAGAGGTTGGCTGCTTGCAGAGCCTGCATTTCTGTTCATTGAATATCTACCTTGTCACGCCTCATGGTCAGATACAAAGAAAAAAGTATTACACAATCCCTTCTTCTTTCTCTCTCCTTATGTGCTCTCTCCTTGCTCGCATCGCGTTACCTGGAGTGAGCTGCTTCAAGCCGAGCCATGGCGAGTTGATAGGACTGGAACCCGTGTAGATGAAGATGTCGTAGAGGAAGCCTCCAAACGCGCAGCCAAGGAATGGTGCTACCATCGGAATCTAGACATGGTCAGCAAGAGCTATGAGTGATATAAAAACACATACCCAGAAGTAGTAGCCGCCAGCGGACCACACCTCATGGCCATACCCAACAGCGTACGACATCAACCTTGGGCTAAAGTCACGAGCGATATTGATCGCATAGCCAGTTTGCCAGCCGAAGCAAGAGCCCAAGCCGAATATAAGGAAGAACAGGCAAAGAGGGAACCATTTGTCGGACTACAGTAAAGTCAGCACCATCCCATCGATTACTCCTATTGGCCATACCTTGGGAACACCATTATTGCTCGGATCCTTCAGCGCAAAGATGACGAACATCAACAATGTACTTGCGATGAACTCCGAGAAGAACTGGCTGGTCTTGGTAAGGAATGGCTGTGGGTAAGTGCAGAATATGTTCGCAGTAGCCTTCTCAGCCGGAGGCACTGTTCGCATCTTCCCGCCCTCGAACCAGTCGATGGAGCTGATGTAGTTCGCGTACACGATCCCAGACCCAACGAACCCACCAAGCATTTGTGCAGCGAAGTACATTGGGAACCGCCGCCAGGGTAGCTGACGGAAGATGCAATTGCTGAGAGTAATGGCTGGGTTTAGGTATGCACCAGAGTCGCCCGCTACGTACAGACCAAGCATGACGCCCAGGCCCCAGCTTTTCAATGTTAGCATACCTTTCCATCTTCTAACACTTCAGCGTTCAACTTACCCCCAGTTGATCGACTGATACTGTCCGAACCCGTTACCACCCGGAGCAGTCGTCTGTCCAGTCGAAAGCAACACCTGCGCAACCGCTCCATCACCAAACATAACCATTATAGCAGTCCCCCAGAACTCCGCAAACGGCTCCCTCATCACCGTCCTTATACGCGACCAAAGCAACTCCGACGCCGCACCATGATCATGCTCTTCGTCGATAGGTGCTTGAGGATGCAAGCCGAGTATGGATCGCTTCCGTTGAGCGCTCGACGACGTTCGGTGGGGCGAGAGTTCAGAGTTGGTAGAATGCGCCGAATGCTGTGTTTGCGCTTGGGTCAGAGGCGTAGCGCTTGTACCAGACGTGATACTGTTCAAACGGTTGTCCGAACGGTCATCTGCCCAATCCCGTGTAATCGACGGCCCTGGGGCCATAGGTCCTTGAGTAGTCATAATGAACAAGCGTCGAAGCAACACTAAACGAAGAAGAAGAACAGCCTAATCCAAAGCCTGTTGAGCCTCAACACCAGTACCAGCGTGAGAAAAGTGCTAGCAGATGCACAGAATCAGCCTATTCAGCGGACCATGACTGCTTAAGCATGCCTCGTCTCATGCTCTCGGCTCCGTATACCCCATATGCTAGAAGACGTCACAGCATAATCCCTCATCGCGATGCCAACGCTATTGGAAGTCGATCTCGTACTTCCCCTCATTTCTACTAGTTAGATCTCCCAGCTTAGGGGGGGATGCCCGCGCCATAAGCTTGGGACGTGACTGTTGCGCGCTAGGCATGACGTCTGTCAAGGCTGGAGGCGTTATTTCCGTGGAACGTGCTGGGGGGATGAGAATCTTCATGGGACTGTAGGAGAGTGTCATTAACCTGTGGTTAATCGAGTACAACATTGGATATGCAGCACTACTGTAGAGAGAACGAAATTGATCTGATGCCCCATTATTCCCGAGGGGTTGAAGTGGAGTCTGGGGTGCATGCGTCGGGCGATCGCGATGCTCTATTAGCGCGAAGTTTGTCGACCACCACCTACACAGTGTAGTCACTATTGGCCCATTGACCGCCTATGCCGTTCTCCTATTCTCATGTTTTCCACATATTCTTTTTGACAAGCCACTCACATGAAATGCACCTTCCCTTTCGTTGATCGGTACACTCTCAAGGCTGAGATATGCAGATAAGCACGTATGATGTCATCAGGCTGCCCATGAGCTGCCAGCTGCCTTCTAGGGTTGTCACACTTCTGCACCAACCTACGTTCTACTCAACACGACCTCAAGCTTCCATCTGGTTTTGGCTCGAATTGTATCTTATATATCACGCCATCGAGATATGGTGGAGTGCGCACATTGCAAATCAGTCGCGGACGCGATAGAGAAGAAGACAGCGTATCCTGGAGAGTACGTGTGGAAATACCGCGATGTCCAGCAGAACGCTGGATGCATTACATGCCAAAAAATAGCACTGAGGTTCAAAATTCATACAAGGACTGATTATGTCGGAGACTGGACCGGCTACGTTTCCTACTCTCAATACGATGACAATTGGGAGCTGACGGTCAGTGGCGAGAGAGTGAAGGGCAGGGAAACTTCTTCCCACTACCTATTCTTGGAGATTCATGAAATTCCAAACACGCTCGGGTTTTGCCTTTTCGACCAAGAAATCGACATCGAGGGTATCAAGAAGTGGATCAGTAGATGCGAAAAGGACCACGCGGGCATATGTCATACAATCACGAACCCAAGGACTAAGATGCCGGATGCCACGGAATTACGGTTTATTGACGTTGAGAAACACTGCCTTGTGAAGCAACTCGAGCATGATGGCGATGGTCGATACGCCGCCCTGAGCTATGTTTGGGGAACAGCTGTCGATCCTTTCCAGACTGTGAAAGCCAATGCCGAAGCTTTGAGCCAGGAATATGCGTTCGACCTACCTTGTAATCGCACTCGCCTTCCGAAAACTATTGTAGACAGCATATCCTTCACACGCGCTCTAGGACTTCGCTACTTATGGGTGGACAGATTCTCTATCATCCAGGATGATGAAGTCGCGAAGCCCCACCAGTTGGCCTCGATGGCCTCTATCTACTCCAATGCGTACGTCACTATAGCTGCTACAGAAGGGGAAGACAGTGCCTATGGGTTACCTGGAGTCAACAAAGAGCGCCCGAGGAAACCACCTTCTGAAGTTTATCATTTTAGTCCCAGCTGCCGCGTCCAGGTGTTGACGCCTTTACGTGGAGAACAACGCACAGTGTATCATACCCGTGGCTGGACTTTTCAAGAGTGGACATTTTCGCGTCGCACGATCGTTTTCCATGATCAATCAGTGTCTTGGATTTGCGGAGACTCTGATGAATCGGAAAGCAAGCAATATCGTCACGTGGTTCCTACAAAACTGTTACGGTGGACTTGGGATACGTATCCTAATTTCAGAGGATACTGTAGTGCTGTCGAAGTCTACAACAAACGGAAGTTGACTTATTCCGAAGATATCCTAGCTGCGTTCGACGCATTTATGACTGTGCAAGGACGTGCTATGAAAAGCGGTTTCGTATTTGGTATACCAGAACTCTTCCTCCCCAATATGCTTTGCTGGCATCACGGCCAAAACCTTTGGCACTATAGTGAAGGACGCCTCCAGCAAAGGCGAACGGATGCTCACGGCAACATCTTGAAAGCTTTCCCATCCTGGTCGTGGGTGGGCTGGTCTGGGCCTGTTAACATGAATTCTGCTGACGCGGCGTGCCGACTGGCAACAAGAAAACTCCACTGCTCCACTCTTGAATATCCTCACCTTATTGAATTTTCCAAAGTTATAATCGAACCGCACGACGAGCGCAAGGAATACGTCAAGGACCTACACTATTACGAAACCCGCGGCTTGATCAGCTTAGCGGAGAACGAATACTATTCCTCCCGCTTACCTATCAAAGTATTCGACAAGCACCCCATGGTTCGAGAAAATGAGGTACAAAGCTTGACAGCTGAATGCGTTCATTCTACTATCCTAGAATTCAGGACTCGGCGACTTATTGCCTCTTTGTCTAAGCACGATCGCGACGACCTGAGGGAAGAAACGCCTATCCTGACAGGTCCTGAAGGTCAAATACTCGGCATCTTAGATATCGACATCTCGCTCAATACTCTCCAGTTACCTCAACACGAGGTCGAACTTATCTGCATCTGCGTGGGTAGGGTTGTGTGCACTAAACATGCTCAGCTGCGTGATCTTTGCCAAGGAGATGTCTTTCAAAAGACCTGTCCTAAGGAGTGTTTCCCAGACTGGAACCACTTTGCTTTCGAAATCCATACACCGGCATCTAAATGGCAGTACATGGCTTACCATGTCCTCTGGATCGAATGGGAAGACGGAATAGCATACCGCAAAGCTATAGGACACGTTTGGAAGGATGAATGGGATGCTGCCGACACAGAAGAGGTAGACATTCGACTTGGGTGATCGACTCATGGTGGTACTTTACTGTATTGGTACCTGCCCGGCTGCCCCTTCAAACCGCGAAGTCCAACGTCATCAAGAGGCGAGACGACGACAGCGACTCACCCTACCGCAACTATCTACTCCATGCGCTCTCCAGGAGCCAACATCTCCTCCTCGGAGTCAGACTCGACCTTCTCAGGAAGCCTTGTCTTTCTCATCCGCTTCTCAACCCTCTCCATCACCTCACCCCCAACCGGCATTTCGGTGTCTATGGCCTGCTCGGTGGCCTTGGTGTTCTCCCGCTCAGACTTGCGGCGGTTGTACTCGGTCTTGCGCTTCCTTGTCGCCAAGACATCTTCTTCGTTCATCTATATATCGTCAGTGTTTGTAGTTTGCAATCGAAACATCTTCAAAAGAAAAAAAAAAGAACTCACCTCAAGAGGATGCAGCTGGTCGCGAATCACCCTCACCAAATCGACCGCAGTCACCAAGTCAAGGTTCTTCTTGAACCACTTGTTGATGTTTCTCAATCCTACCGCCGAATTGATCTGGCCGCCCATGCATTCGCCATGGCCCTACGTAAACTCCGACAATGTCGCCAGAGTCCCCAGCAGACGAAAATCACAAGTCACCGCGTCGCCATCCGGACGGAATGTACGCCCGCCGTACATGGGAGGGGGAGGGGGGAAGGAGGTCATGTCGACGCCCCAGTTCTCTTCGATGAGCGCGAGGGAGGCGGCTGCGGTGTGTGTAGTGCCCAATTTGTTGTTAGAGATGCTGTCGAGCGTGTCGAGGAGGTCGCGTACGCTCCTGGGTGTTATGGTGACTTGCACACCGTCGAAGCGCTCGCCGCGAATCATGTCGCGCTTCTCAATGCGGGTGAGTTCGGAGAATGTGAACATGATGTATACAAGAAAGCGTTAAAGTGATGATAGATCGATTGTGGGTGGGTGGTTCTGGGAAGCAGGATTAAGGCTACAAGAAAGTTTTGTATGGGCCTACGCTCAGTGCGTAAAAAAGCCATAGTGAAGGAGAGAAGAGAATTCCCCTTCACCTTCAAATTCACCTCCTGTTTTCACCAGGATTGTATGTTTACTGCGACTATAATTGACGTATACTCTCCGTACTAGTACCGAATCAAGTGATAATAAAAAATGACGCCGTCTCCAAGTCTGAGTGAAGGCGAATGAAAGACATTAAAGTGAGCAAAAAAGAGCAAAAATGAATAATTACAACACTGCGGATGACTATAAGGATCGAACTCATTTACCGAAATGGCTGTTATCGACGGTATTCTCAAGGTCAACCCAGGAGACGCATCTAGGGATTAATAGGCCGTTCGGAGTCGTGTTGTGATGGGAGATTGCTTAATCAAATATAATATATAGACATATCGCAGATTATGGGCGAGATTGTTGTGGGGGGAGATAGGTCGAAGTGAGAGCAAACGCAGTGTTGTGGGATGTGAGTGAGACCACGAGAGTATGACGCATCGGCAAACACGTACCTCAGCTAGGAGGACGTCGGTACATTATGAAGCACCGGACAAGATATGATAATAGAGCTGGAAGGATCTCATCTCAATCCCAGGCAGTGGGGGCGAGTAAACAACGGAGCGAGGAGGACATCGGTGCGACCCCCAACAGCGGCGAGTTAAGGCATAAAGAACATTGAGAACGACATGGTAACAGAACATACTCACTTGGCCATGCAGAATGTGTCGAAAGACACTAGACTTTATCATGCGCAACCCTCAGCAACGGAGATGCAGGAAATATAGAGCGTTGAAGAGGTCAAGACAATGAAACGTACTCAGTTCGCCATACATGACGTGTTGAAGGATACCAGACTCTATTATGCGCAACACCACAACTGAGATTTAGGAAATGTAAAGCTGAAGAGGCAAGATCGTGGAACATACTCACTTCGATATGCATGATGTGTTCAAGGACACCAAGCGACATCATGCGCCAGCTGATTTGATTAGGTTGATACGCGCCTTACAGATGAGGTACCTTCAGACTAGCCAGCAACAAGTTCACGATACTGAACAGTCCCTCGCCGAGAATCAACCCACTCGCGAGCACAATAATAGGCGTCTCGCTCCGTCCCTTCCAGCGCCGCCACCATAGACTGAGCAGGCCGCCGATTGTACGCGCTAATGTAAAAGAAGGCGTGTTGTACATACCTACGCGATGGGTTAGTTTACGGGATATGAGAAGAGGACGCGTGACAAGCATACCAACAGCGACAGCAATCCCACCAGGTACGAAGTCTATCCACCAGCCACTAAGACCCCTCTGCTTTCTGTTGTTACCCCAAACCCTAATCATTGTACCCACGGCGAAAATGACAGCCGCTCCACTAGCCCATTCCTTAACCATGGGCGGTAGACCCTTCCCTGTCACTAATCGTGCGGTGAAGACCCACACGTATCCCGTCGGCACCTCGAACAGGCCACCAGGAATGGTGTATACGTTGGTGTAGAGCTTATATACGACAGCAGATAACACAGCGCCAACTGCAGACCCAATCATCTGACCCCAGAATTGCGCATTCGGCGCAGCGCCGAGAAGATGGCCACATTTCAAATCCTGCAACAGGTCGCCTGCTTGTAGTGCCGCGGACTCGGAGATGGCGCCCGCAACAAGGTTGATGATAACGGCGTTCTTAGCACCCGGTCCGGTAGTTGGGGTGACGAGCGCGAAGACGAGCTGCGTGAGCTTGGAGATACCGGAAACGGGATTGAGATCGGTTTCTCCAAGTGCGCGTACGCCCATGACGGACAGGAGGAGCGCGAGTACCAACGAAAGTAACGTAAGGCGAAAGGGGATGAGGTTGGGGAACGACACGTGGACTGCGATAACGCAAAGGACTAATGACGCAATAAGACCGATGATGGTGGTGCGGTTCGAGACAAGGTGCTCAGGTGGCGCGTCAGGCTCGTTGCCTTCAGCCAGGTGCTGCTTGATTGCTTCTAAGGGATTGACGGATGTCCCATCGCTGAGCTGAGTATACTGTGGTTTAGACGTAATGTTGAGAGTGAATATCTCCTTCCAAGTATGTGACTGGAAGTTCTCTTTGGCAGTGGGATAATAGGCTCTGGCAATCGTAACGACCGGGCGTAGAAGAAGCCAGCCTAAGCTGACGAGAGAATCGGCCAACATGATGGCGAGAGAGATCCAAACGATCCAGCCTTTTGAGCCATTTGTCCAGTCTGACACTGGCCCTGGAGCCCACTCCTTGTGCTTCGCGAGAGGCGAGAGGATGCCCCAGCCTATGATAGCACCGAGGAGCATATGAAGGGTTGTAGCGGGTCCCATAATGATACCCTGGCCCACATACGCAGGTGATGGGTTCAAAGTCCAGAGCCAGTTCTGCGCCATAGAAAGACCGAAAATGGGTATGTCGTGAAGCTGCGGAAGAAAGTACGATACAACGGTGTATAATGCGGATCCGCCGAAAGAGATGAGCAGTAGCCTGATCTTCGTTTTCCAGTCTCCGTCTTCTCCGAGCTCTTGATCTGGGTCCTTCATGCTGTCGTCCATGGACGGCCTGAGGTCATGCTCTTCTCGCTGCGCGCTTGAGCCTTGCAATAAGCCCTGCGTCTCTTCATCGCCGGACCGATCGCCTCCGTCCTGAACTCCTTCACGGGCCATCATCGTCTTTGATTTCTCATCCCCATGTAGCACTCTGATTAGAAGCGCAGTCGCAGTACCACTAGGGAACTTCAGCTTCTCTCTGATGATCATCTCTTTCCGCAAGGGCACTGCAAACACTACTCCAAAGAAGCATATGCCAACAGACCACACTATCAGTTTCCACAAACTGATATCCAGAGGTCCGTTCTCTTCGGGTGTCAACAGGTAGTTGAGCGCAGGAATTACGCCAACAAACCCGCATCCGAGAGGCATGGTGCCGACCGATCCAGCAACTGATTGAACCAAAACGTTCTCCACCGGCGTGAACGGCAACTTGAGCGTCCTCGCAACGACCTTGAAGTATGCAAACCCGATCAAAGCGGAAGGCATAGCCATACCGGAAACCCAACCCGTCTGCAACCCAAAGTACATGTTAGAAAAACATATCACAACACCAATCGCCAAGCCCACCAGGACACCCCGAAGCGTGAAATTCTGCGGCTGGTCCGCCTGCTCAGCCAGATACCTGCGGGCACCCGTCGTACTACGGCCGAGCGCATGATCATCCGTCTCTTCACTGTGCCCTGCTCTTTCATTTTCCAACGATGCGGATCCCCGGTCCGGTGCCATCCTCGAAATATCCTGGAGCTGAATCGACTCAGCCAGCGTGAAGACGAGGAAGCAGCATGCGAGAAGAAAAGGAAGAGGTCAGAAGGCCCTGATAGGAAGATAACGGAGTCTTGACAGGGTATGGCGTGCTTGGGCATGTGCACGCGATGATGCAAGGCGATCTGCTAGCGTGGGCGGATCCACACGTGACAGCCGGCTGTTATTGGCGGAGTGAATGCTTATCTCCGATTTGTCAGATGGCGCCAACACTCCAACGTGCATCGCGAACTGCTAGACAGGGGCGCGTCGCGGGTCCGCATACGACGTCAAGAACCCTCCAGACCTGCCCGCCGATCTACAATCGATACTGGCTTCAAGATGAAGTTCTCCGCCGCCCTCCTGCCTCTACTGGCAGCTCCCTTCGTCGCCAGCGAACACACATCCAACTGGGCCGTCCTCGTCTCGACATCACGCTTCTGGTTCAACTACCGCCACCTCGCCAATGTACTCTCATTATACCGCACCGTCAAGCGTCTCGGGATCCCCGATTCGCAAATCATCCTCATGCTGCCTGATGACATGGCATGCAACCCGCGCAACGCCTTCCCCGGAACCGTCTACAACAACGCAGACCGAGCCCTAGATCTTTACGGCGACAACATCGAGGTGGACTACCGAGGATACGAAGTCACAGTCGAGAACTTTATCCGATTGATGACAGACAGGGTTGGCGAGGACATGCCACGCAGCAAGAGGTTAATGACGGACGAACGGAGCAACATCCTCGTATACATGACAGGCCACGGCGGAAACGAATTCCTCAAGTTCCAAGATGCAGAGGAAATCAGCGCATTCGATCTCGCCGATGCGTTTGGTCAGATGTGGGAGAAGAAACGGTATGTTAATCCCCTCTATCATCATCACCACCACACCCCTCCCCATCTATAACACCCCACTAACTACTCCCCTAGCTACCACGAAATCCTCTTCATGATAGACACTTGCCAAGCCAACACCATGTACTCCAAATTCTACACCCCCAACATCCTCGCCACGGGCTCCTCCGAAATCGATCAATCCTCCTACTCCCACCACGCCGACAACGACGTCGGCGTCGCCGTCATCGACCGTTACACATACTACAACCTCGAGTTTTTAGAGAACCAAGTCAAAGACCCCACCAGTAAATTGACAATGGGCGATCTGTTCGATAGTTATGATGAGGAGAAGATACACAGCCACCCCGGTATACGATATGATCTTTTTGAGGGAGGCGAGCAGGCGGCGAGGGAGAGGAGGGTCATGGATTTCTTTGGGAATGTGCAGAATGTGGAGGTTGAGGGAAGGAATGAAACGGGGTGGGTTAGGGAGGCGGGGATGAAGGTTAAGCTAGCGAAGTCGCAGGATCAGAGTGTGGGGAATATGAGTTTGGAAGAGGTACCGCATAAAGCGCGTACAGAGGGTGCTTGGAAAGTGGATGAGGAGCAAGGGTGTACGAAACAGGCGTATGGGGCTGCGGCGTTGGCGGGCTGTGCAGGTATCTGGCTTGCTGGCAGTTGGATTGAGTCTATGTGACGCCCCGTAGAGACCTGTTTATTTCAATATTCTGATGTTATGATACCCAATATCACAAGAGCTTCATATTTTCAGTCATGTTACTGGCTGCTATTGATTTATCTGGCTATAGTCGCAAGGTTGGAGGTAATGTCTGTATTCTTACTGCGCACTTATCAAAAGCATGAACATACAGCCATGGACGATGCGTCCTCGAGATCATTTCACAACAAGACATCACATCCCGTACGAATTCATATTGAAGCGCTCGATTGCTACTTTTCTACTACAGGTAGAGTCCGCGAAAATGAAAATCCACGAGGTATCGTATGCCGTTCTCCATGATCCATGCTATGCACCGGAACTCCTCTAAAGAACCTGAAAACCAATCCCACTTCATTACGACGTAACATCATCGTGTATCGCTCCGTGACGCGTGAATTCCACATGTATTGCCCGATGATCAAATCCCATTGAATGAAAAAAGCCCAACCTCTTGCAGTCTACATTGGCAACAAAAAGGGAAGCTGGCAGACCCTTGACGCAATGTAGACTTCTGGGTCATTTTCTTCTGTTATCCGCTGTGACTCGGTGTTCAATTCTCCCTAGCATGGAGTGATTAAGGGAGAGGTGCGCGTAGCCCCATCTCCTAGTACATGGCAGTCGCGTTCTCCGCCCCACCATAAGCCGTCTCCTTGAAGCCAGCGGGAACAGTCCATCCATGGACAGCGCAAGCACGTATGTACGCGTCGACCGCTTCCATGACACCGTAGTCTCCAGGAGGGCCTGGTTGCAGACGAGCGGGCTTCGGATCCAGGCTGGAGATGGCCATACGCACTTGGAGGAGCACGGACTCGATGGAAGAAACAGCGCTCCAGCCGTCGTTGGTGAGAAGCTGCATGCACATGGCACCACCAGCAGTGACGTGACCACCTCCACCCATATTAAAGGGTAGGAAGCGAGGCCGGATGACACGGACGAATGGCGGGCTCATGGGATAGTCTCTGCCGAATCGTAGCTCCAGTACGATGCTCTTGACTTTCTTCGACTTCATGTCTTTTGCAAGTGGCAGGGTGGGGTCGAATGAGTGCAATTCTACAATCCACTGGTAGATATTCTCAGTCTTCTCCTCATCAATGTGCCAACCTAGCTCATGCATCAGTTCCTTGTTCTGGATCTGGACGATGTCCTTGAAGTCCTTCATCAGACGCCTGGTAGCAGCGGTTGTCGCCCACGCAGGCTCCTGAAGTTTAGGAAGCTTATCGTAGTCAAGCTTTCCGGGCTCGTAGTCGGTCAGAGGTTGGCTGGATGATGACTTGCCAAAGATCTTGGACGAAAACGACGCTATTGAGGCTGCCACCTTTGACTTGCCCTTGTCGCTGATTGAGTTTGGCGTGGGAAGAGGGTCAGTCTCGTGGAACGACTTGTGCTCATCTTCACCGTCAAAGATAATGCGGTCTTCTTCAAGTGTTGCGACACTGGCGGTGTCATCATCATCGTCAATATCAACGGGATCGTACTGTGTCTTCCCAGAAGCCTTCTGGCGCTTGTGACCCTGAGTATCTGTCAGCAAGTGCGCAGTAGCATGTGGAAACCAACCCACCCCAGTAGGCTTCGCCTTGGGACGTCGAGAAGCAGCGATAGCATGGATCGGAATAACGAGGTCGCCTGTCACACCGCGAGGCGTGCGGCTTGGATCTTGGTCGACGCAAAGAAGTGGCTTGCTGCCCGAATCTACGGCTGTCATGTTGTCCGCGCGTGTCTTTATAAAGAGGTAGCGGGTCTGGATCCAATCAAGCTGAGCTACGACCAGATGCGGAGTCTGGCTCACGAATTCCTGCGGAGCGTTGACGATCTCATTTAGAGCCAAGGTCTGTTGGACCTTTAGCTCGCTCATTGTCCAAGACGCGCCGTAAGACATCGAAGAATAGCCCAAGCTAGTATTGACATCAGGAGCGTGGTAAACGCCATTCCCGAAAGCGCGCCCGTGGGCGGTCTCCTTGAAGTGAAGTCCCTCTCGGATGATGGTGTGCCAGTTGTGGATAGGGCTCCCATGCCACGCAAACAAAGTTGGGTATCGAAGGCTGAGGCGGTCGGTAGTGTCTCGCACTGCCTGGATGAACATTCGCTCCTTATCAGGGGCACCCATTGCGAATCGGAACTGTGCCCAACCTGCCATGCCATACAGACGCTCCTCCGATTTGCGGCCGTTCGGAGCATCCTCTTCGTTATCGACCTGCAGGATGCAGGCTCGATTCGAAGCGATGACCCAGCGCAGTATTCCAAGGACGGCAGGGGAAAGGCGGTCAACCCAAGCGCTCAGAGAAGACTGCGATTTCCGCAAAAGGTACTTCCTCATTTCTTGCACAGGCGGTAGAAGATCGAGAAGTGTGGAAATGACTCGCGGCTTCTCGACGTCACCCAAATCGTCGAAGTTGGTGTTGTAGATATAGAAGCTTGCGGACTTGAACTCGTTCTCTGGGACTGGCCGTGGGGCTGACACTTTCGCTTTCGCCGGAGTCGCCTGTACTGCGCCGTATGGATCTGTTGTTGGCTCGATGGATGGGACGACAGGATTTGAAACCTTGACTGATGGATATAGAGATGCATCGACCACGCGGCAATGCAAAGCTTTGGTCGGCTCATCATCTGTTCGCATAACGATCCATTGGCCTTTTGATATAGGACAAGCTTCCCTCGCGTTCTCAAACAGCATCTCGAGATTGGCCGCATTGTATCGAACACTCAGCGCAGCTGCTGGAGGTGTACTGTCGGCTTGCGGAGGCTGTTGTGCGGGGTCTTGGACGACATAACGATTGCCGACACTAATAGGTATGTAATCCCTCTCATTTGTTACCGGAGGTGGAACTGCCAAGCTGAGACCGGTCGGAAAGTCCCTCAGCCTACTGGCGCGTGCACTAGCGTAGCAGAAGCTAATTAGGAGGTCGACGACTTTGGGTTGTGAGACGATCTCATGTTCGATACTCGGACCAAAGCCTAGCGACATATACTGGTACAAACACAGCGGATTGTCACAGACATAGGGCTTGATAGCTTGTAGGTCGTCGGGCATTCTACTGAAGCAGATCAGACAGAACTCGGTACATCGAACGAAGTGCCGTAACACGAACTGCATCCCTACAAGAGGTAGAGAGTGCTCTTGACCATTTGAAGATATAATGTGATCATCGGTTACAATATTTGGCCATGTATTGCTGACACGCTCGTCGTCGTAGTACTTGTCGTGCGATGCGTCCTGGTCCGAGTGTGATGCATGAAGCACTTGATCGTTGTAGAATGACTCGGCACCATGCCATGGCATACCCCCGTAGCGATATTTTAGGAGCATGTGAAAGCGCTGTTCCAACAGCTCGTTCAAAGGCCTTGAGATGAACGAATTCCGGAATCCCTTGTTTGATTCTGAAGACACGTTCTGAGAGTCGCCTTGTTGTGACGCCTCCCGTCGCTTCTCCTCCTCTTTGCTCAAGACTGTGAAGGCAGATATAGCTTCTTGTATGGTTGGCTTGTACGTCGTACAGACACCGACGCGGATTCCGAAGTTCCGTCGAGCTTGGTGCGCATCGTAGGACCTCAAATCGTCCATGCTCTTGTAGCCTGACGGGTAATGGAAGATCGCGACAAGGTACTCTGACGGCTCGACCTGCCATGCTTGCATCGCCTCTTCTGAGATACCGAGTTTCGAGATGCGGATGGACAGAGAGACATAGCATCCTAAACCATCCATCAAGCCTCCGAGATGTCCAACTTTGAAGCCCTCGCTCTTGGCAATCAAGAGGTCATTCCGAACACGCTGTCGGAAAGCAGATGTAGCTTCTGTGTAACCTCCACCCGATATAGCACCACCGTCGGTGGCGAGTCGCGGCTTCGGCATCATGTCGTCGTCACCGGGAAAGTACTCGTCTTCTTCGTCCTCTTCATCGTCGAAGTCTTCAAACTCCTGAGAGTCGAGCATCTGCTGGTCCCCATCCCGGTCGGTGGACTCCAGTCGGGTAGAGACGAGCTCTAGAATCTGAGAAACGGTCTTTGCGTAAGTAGCGTCAGCGATGCTGTCGAGGGCAGTAGCGACGCCAGCAGAAAGATTATCGGCGCCAAAGATCATGCAGGTATGGCCAGTAGGGTAATCGGATACTTCTGTACGGTCTGTTAGCTATGTTTCGTCAAGGTAATGCAGACAGGCTGGGAGTTCCGGGCGGTAGGGGCCTCGCCACCAGGGCGACTAGAATTCTTGGTGCTTGTGTCTGCATACACGATACCAAACTTTGACAAATAGACACCTCCTAAGCCAATGTATGCCTTTACCTCAAAATGGTTTTGTAGAATGTGACACGAATTATAGCCATCCCTAGTGTCGCGAGCTATGCCTATGCCTGAAGTAGCTTACCTGGGACAAGCGCTGAGATCTCTAGCTGCTGGCCGTCTGCGAGGCACATGAAGGTAAATTCGCCGTCATCCCCACCAGGGCGCACGTTTGAGATACCCGCAATCGAAAGTCCTTCTGCTGCCTTCTGCAGATCGGCTTGAAATTGCCGCCGCGGCATTTTGGGGCGCGTGTTTGGGAAGTGTTGCCGGTGTCGCGAAGTGTTTGCGTACTGACTGTAGTTGAGGTTGCTGTTTGCACGTGTAAAGCTGGCGCGGATTGAGGCCGGTGGTTGAGCGAGTGGGCTACGGCGTAGTGCAGATCCGGTAGAAAGGTCGACTTTGATCTTTTGAACACTCCAGGGCTGGAGATCGTGAATTAGGCGGAAACTGCCTAGGGACGGGTCCACGGGTGACGTCGAACTGCAGTATTTGGCGTGAGGTAGCAAACGCTGGACGGCTTAACCTTGGAAACTAGGCAATCGCGCCCAAGAACAGCTAACGACCGACGAGGAGGAGAAAGAGACGAAACAGAAGAGCGAGAGAAAGAACGGCGACTGGCGACCCTACCTTACAGGTTCTTGGCGGACTCTGTGAAACGGTGCCTGAATTGTCAGTCCATGAGGGAAGTGGTGGTGGTTGCCTTGGAAGAGTGGGTAGTGTGGCTCAGTCCAGGCTCTAGCTCGCATGTTGCAGGCGGGCAACTACAGGGATGATAGCTACTCATTGAGCAATTATGACTGTTATAGATCTTATCTCGAACAATGAGACGGTGAATGCTCTGAACAGAGACGTACACGGAGCATCCCACGACGTGAAGATGCCGTCTTAGTCGCCAGGATAAAGCACCGACCAGCCGCATCTGGGGGACTGGGGTACTAACTAACGATCCGCAGTGGGGACGAAGAGGGAAACTAGGCTCAATAGCGATTCAGGAACGGCCGCGACCCCAGACCTCCTCAGCCTTGCTCTCGCCATGGCTGTGTCAGTCGAAAAAACGACGCCAAAGTCCACACACGTCTCCGACCCCGCGCTTGCCCCATTTCTGGAGTCGCGCTTCGATGCCGCCGAATACCTCAATGCCACGCTCCCCTCGCTATCGCTAGCGTCCAGGCAGAAATCAAGTAACGCCGCCTCGTTAGCCGACCTCTCCTCCCAGACCCAAGATCTCCTCTCGCAGCTCAATGCACACACGACGCGATTATCGGCGATATTGACACAGTTGACTGATGACATACTGCGAAGTGGCGGGCGCTTGGCGTACGAGGTCGAGGTGCTGCGGGGAGAGGCCATTGGGCTTACAGAGACCTTGACAGATGGGTTAAAGAGCGATGTTCAGAAGTTCCTACCAGGCGGCATATCGATAAAGACGGAGTCAGCCGATGACGATGCAAAGAGCCCTGCTGCGACACAGGCAGATGCCTCGGATGTGCAACCGTCACAGCCAGCGCTGGAGGAGCCTGATGAGACCACTCCAGAATACATCTCTGACCTCCGCACCCTCACTACAGTCCGCTCGCGCCTCGAGACCGTCATCAAAGTCTTTGGAGAAGCCATGCACTGGTCCTTACCACCATCTGAGGTATCCTTAGGAGCCTCCCTTATCAGCGTCTCCGCTCCCGAGCCTGGCACAGACAGCGCCTCACGCGAACAAAAAGGCAAGGAATTCGCTGCCTCCCTGCGCACCGAGATCGCCGACCTCATCACCGGCGACCCAGACGGCGGCATGGAAAAGGCAGAGGTGCGTATACAAGCTTTGAGAGATCTAGCGCAGGTCTGGAAAGGCACAGCAGAGGAGAAGGCGAGGACCAAGTTCGTGGAAGGGCTGGTCAAGTTGGCAGAAGATAGGCAAAGAGAGATCGATAGGGAGAAGGAGAGGAACAAGGATCGTGGTCAGCAGAAACACGCTCGTAGTGGTAGTGTGCCGAAGCCGCAGCAGCAGCCTCAACAGCAAAGAGGCGGGTTTTTAGAGAACCTGCAGAGAAGATTTGTGGAATGAAGAACATGCACTCGTCTATCGCATATCATTTCCTGAATCTCATCGTCACGTGAAAACGCGTCAAGTCGCGATGGAAAGCATATTCTCTCAAATTGAGTGTAAGCTGCCATTGACTACGCGTGCGTATTCATGCTGCAAAGACATACCAGCAGTACCATACCCAAAGTACCGTCAACATCTCTACTCAATCGTCCTTCTGCATCCTCTCCTCTGTTCTTTGAATCACCCTTTCAGCAATCTTGTCAGTTATGGTTTCGGCGATCCTCTCGACCAATCTTTCGATGACCCTTTTAATTACCCACTCAACTGTCTTTTCAATCACTTTCTCGAATAGCCTCTCTATCAATCTTTCGACTATCCGATCGACAATGTCTGGGCTATCCGACCCACCGGGATGCATTAGACCCATGGCTCTGATCGATTTCACTGAGGGGGAAGGAGACGCATATATGCAGTTGCTCTCTGCTACAATGCTAGGAGCTAGCGTTGTGCCTGCATCGCGCGCTTGCTTGTCAGAGAGATGAGAGCCAATCCTGATCATAGCAGTCAGGCGAGCTTGGAAGATACCCATGCTCCTTCCATCACATCATAGCATCTTCCCTCGATTCGGCTGTACGCTGCGCCTTTGTCTCTCATCTATTCGTCACTACCGCTTCTCTTCCCACTCAGACCACCCGTCGCGACTACTAAATCTTGCATGCCTCCTACTTACTCAAAATAAGACCCTACTACACTAGCAAGGACGTCTTGCTAGAGGGAAGTCTGTTTACATACTTCAGCCGTAGCCTTCTATCCGTTCACATCTGCATCGGATCTGAATCTTTCAAGTGTCCCCGGACGGCGTTCAGATATCGTCACTCAATCATCACTCGTCTTCATACGTCATTATCTTACTTCTCTCATCACTTTGTTATCGCCTTCGTCGTCGACGCACTCCTTCACGACCTCACCATCTTACTTTATCTATACCCAGATATCCTTCACAAGTGGGTCTTCGCTACATAGTGAGTTGCTAACTTGTATCATCAAGACCCTGTATGCAGCTGGCTGATGTACGATGCAAAAGGTTCCTAGCATCAATTTGCATTCTTCCGACTATCTTTCCAAGGACTCTGTGGGACATCTTGAATTCATCCTTCCGGTCCTCCTTACCGCTGTCCTCTTGAACACTGGGCATATTTATGGATGCGATGGTCACCTACTAAAGCGCTTTGTCGTGATCAACGGGTGTGACACTGATTAATTAGCCCATTACGTTGCCCGTACATTCATGAAACGTAGATCAGTCATGTAAAGGTCCATTGTCTTCATCATCATCTCGTGCAGTACAAAACAGCAAACCACAGAACCAAAGAATCCAAAAATTCATACGAAACGTCCTCCAAAACAGGAATGCCTCGCCTATCCCAGCCCGATCCCTAGGCTAACCAGATCTCCCCACAGGAGCCAGCCCGTGCGGGCGGCTACAACTGTGGGGTTCACCTTAAGCCCAAGAGAAAGGGAAGGGGGCGGATGCGGCACCACAAAACCACAAAACCAAGAAAGCAACAACAGAAACATCCACGAAATCCAACACAACCAAACGCCTTTCCATATGCCGGGGTATCATAAGCGATCGAACTCCGAAGTACTCCAACCCGCACCGAACGCGTGAGAAAATCAAATGGTGGGAATGGCTTCCAAGACGGTCATGGCCCGTTGGCCCTCAGCCTCGAATGCCATGATCTGCCGTTCGCAGGCCATGCGCAACTTCTCCTCACCTCGCTTGGCGTTGTAAAGGACCCATTGCTCAATAGTCATGGACTTTTCGTGGTCTGTCAGGTTTGCCATGACAGCGTCGAAGATTTGTTCGGGTGTTGAGCCAGTAGCCTCGATGTTGTCAAGGCCGGCGTCGATGAGAATGTCTTGCATCAGGCCCTGAGCCTCTCCCTGGGATGCGAAGAGCATGTCGACGTCAGCAGGTTCCCAACCGTTGTTGTCATCTGCCTCGCTCATAGGAGGTGGGGTCCTCTTAGGTGTTCCTACCATCAGGTCGGCTGGCAGGCTGGACATTTCGAAGTCTGATGCAACATGGTCCTGGGTATGAGTCGGAGTCTTCTTAGGTGTTCCGACTGGCAAGTCGCTCGGAAAGCTTTCAATGCTTGATGATCGAACGCGTTTCGGTGCTGGTTGTGACACTTCTGACATCTCGGTGATCTCCATCGCATCGCTCATGCGCTTCTTGCCGCGCTTTGGTGCGGGTTGTACAACCTCTGAGACTTCGGTAATTTCCATAGTGTCGCTTGTGCGCTTCTTCCCGCGCTTCGGTGCCGGTTGAACGACCTCTGAAACTTCGGTGATATCCATCGTGTCGTCTATGTGCTTCTTGCCGCGTTTCGGTGCCGGTCGTGCCGCTTCAGATAGCTCGCTGTCCTCCATCGTGGTGTCGTCTATGTGCTTCTTGCCGCGCGTGGCCTTCTTGCTCGCAGTAGATGCGGTAGATGAGCGTGCTGATCGACCCTTGGCTTTCGAAGCACGCTTTCCCTTCTTTGGCGCGGGAATTGGTGGGTTGTAAATATCGGACAATGTGAAGAAGAGACAGTCGGGAGAGCGTTTACGGTGCTCTTGCATCGGATCATCGCCAATGTCCCAGGCGTCGAGTGCGCGAGCGCAGTATGCACAGGTAACGCCATCAGGAGTTTCGTCTGTGGGGTCGTAGAACCATCCCGCCGCGACCATCTGGTCGACTGAGGGGTAGCCGGCGTTGGGGTCCAGAGGCCACATGTCGCCGAACGTGTCGCGACGCGCCGCGACCATCGCGTCGGAAGTCGGGTCTTCTTCAGTTCTGCCAGGGTCGCCAGAACGCAGGCGAATGCACGCGATGACTGCGAAGCCGCAGCTCGGCGAATGTGTGGCGTGCTCATATGCGGGGACGTCTGATTCCTCCCAGCCGTCAAGCTGGCACTCGCAGGAGAAGCATTGTACGTTATCAGGGCTGGCGGTAGTGGGCCTCCATACAAAACCCGCATACGCGAGATCTTGTGCCGCTGGTGAAGCCAATGGCCAGCCGGCTTTGGACTTTGTGCCTGCCTTTTTTGATCTGCTGCTCGTGCGTCGCGTCTTTGTGGTCGTCGCTGCTCCGCCAAAGGTCGCGAGACGCGCCTGGAATGAAGCCAGCGCGGCGTCCATGGTGTTGGCTATTGTGGGGGTAGCCGAGTTTCTTTTTGGGCGTTCTTGTGCGATTTCTGTTCAATTGACAAGAGTAGCGCCTAAGTTACACGCAGTATTGAGAGTTGCTGGTGTGGAGTGGTGCGGGATGAGTGGGATGAGAGGAAGTCGCGTCTCTACGCGGCAGGCGGGACCACACAAACATCAAATCCACCAAGCTGGTTACGGAAGCAACGGCTTATGTCATCCACCCTCTCACTTTGCGAAACCTCAGGCATCGACTTCTGTACAAGATGTATCGACGCCAACCATCATTCCAGATAGCGTGGTGCAGGAGGCCTCTGGTTAATGTCAATCGCCGCTTCATCTCATCCGAAAAGACTGTGCCCGCCGACAAGCCACATGCATTCCAATCGCTGCCACCAGAGTGGGAAGATGAGCCTCCTTCGCTGGACAACTTCACGCAGCTGCCACGCGACTTTGGGAAGAACCAGCTGATACAAACGAACGAGGAGTTCAAGCGATCGTTAAGAGGCATACTCCGGCAATTTCCACCGGTCACCTATGCGTTTGCCTATGGCTCCGGCGTCTTCCCTCAGTCAGCTGCGACAGCTTCACGCCCGTCGGAATCACCGCATCCGAACGCGCCCGAGGCGATACTCAAGTGGCAGAAGGGCGGCGGAAAGATGATAGACTTTATCTTGACACCTCGGTTCTCGCAGCACTTCCACTCGCTCAATTTGCGCGAGCACCGAGACCACTATTCTTTCCTGGGCTCGCTCGGCTCAGGCGTCGTCAGCCATGTGCAGGAGAAGTATGGTGCAGGCGCCTACTTTAATCCATATGTAGTAGTGAACGGAACGATGATCAAGTACGCTGTTGTCAACTACGAAACGCTCCTCCGCGACCTCACCGATTGGGACACCTTGTACTTCGCCGGTCGCTTACACAAGCCCGTCAAGATCCTCCACGAAGAACCCAACCTCCGCGTCGCGAATCAACGTAACCTCCTCTCAGCCGTACGATGCGCGCTTCTCCTATTACCCCAGACTTTTACCGAGAAGGAACTATACTCTACAATCACTGGCTTGAGCTATCAGGGCGATCCCCGGATGCAATATGGCAGCGAAAACCCCAAGAAGATCGACAACATCGTTACACACCAATTACGGAACTTCAGATACCTCTACCACGACCTCATACTATCACTACCAAACATACTCTACGCCGACGATTCCGTGGTGCGCACAAGGGGTTGGATCGAGGACCAGACGCTCAATCAGAAGATGTCACAAGACATGGATCCTGAGAGGCGCGCTACTATGATCAGGCGGTTGCCCAAGAAGTTCCGTGAGAAGGTATACTTCCAATACCGCGGCAAGTTTGGCATTTCAGGTCGTGAATACCAGGAGATGCTGGATGCAAACAAAGACGAGTCTTCCGGGGGTATTCTCAAGAAGCAGGTTGCCGGCGACTTTGACAAGCGGATAGCGGGCGAGAGGGACGTCCCGCAGATGGTCACAAAGGCAATCAACCAGACGGTCAAGTGGCCTTCAACTGTGCAAACTTTGAAGGGTCCTTTTACTGCAGGCTTCTCCAAGACGGTGCGATATTTGCAGGAGAAGAGACAGAAGGCAAAGATGAAGTGAAAAGCACGTCATTAGATGTTAATGTTTGCTCCTTGCGGCATACTTTCCTTTGTACCATTATCAAAAGCGAAAAGCAAGCGAGCGAGCTTCTACATGTCTCGAATTGCTATCGCATATAGCCGCCGTCGCAGCTCACGGGTCAGGCTCTCTGTATAAGCGGACAAGCGAACATAGACTTCGAAAATGAATGCATAACTGAATATCTCTTTACAAAGCCCTTGATAAAAAGTCGTGCAAGTATCATCAATATGAACATGTAATATGCCCGCCAACTCTTTACGTACATATCGAATGTCAACTACTCGGCATAAACCAATTACTGTCGTACCTCTTATGCACTACGTGCTCCACTGTCTCCACTCTGCTGTCTCGCTTCCTGTGTCGGAGAGTCCACAGAAAGCCGGTTCGAAAAGATGTCCACCTCAATAATTCTTTTGGCAAAACATCTTTTTCTACATATTTATATTGTATTCTTCTCAACTCTTAGTCATCAATTACAACCAATCAAAGGCTCAATGGTCTAGTCGCATGATTCCTGCTTTGGGAAAAGCTTTCTTAAATGCAGGAGGTCCCGGGTGTAAGTTCCCAGTGTTCGAATTACAAAAGTATCAACCACTAACATGTGTTAGTCAAATCCCGGTTGAGCCCTTTACAAACCTTTCTTTTTTGCCATTGTCTGTGCAGTACGGTAAGAGAGAATAGACAGAATGCGTGTCTATTACTTGCTACATCCTTTTTTTTATTTTTGATTGCGTGTCATGCGAAAGCGTAACTAGATATGAGCTAATTTCGTGTGACATGCCACCTTGGCAAAACTTGCTTCGCAAGTCTTCACAGTACTTTAATCTGATAGAGGAAAATTGCAAAGTGCAACGTGCTCTGCAAGACGATTTAATGACGAACTTATTTTGATTTGTATAGCTTTATGTAGCAAACACAAGTATTTGAAGGAATACACATGCACGACGATGATGAAACAGAAGTGGCCCGGCCGCATCTTGTTGCCTTGCTGTGCATTCTCAAGCGATAATGTATAACTCTACATGGGGTATTACATCTCACGTGTTGGAAGATGTCTCTGATCAAAAACATGGATCACCAATTTTGTCATCTCTTAGCACTGCGATGACCCATAGACGACGAGTCACTCGCGAGTCCCGCAATACATACGACACAAACGATGCCTGAAACCTTCCTATCATGTAATAGTAACCAAAATTACACCTCGAAAGTCACCTACTAGCAGCAACATATCTAGTGAAATCCAATAGCATCAACAACCCAAGGAGAGGTATCTCAACATCCTACAAACTCCAAAACCACCTATCCAAAAAGAAATAACCAGGTATCATAACATTCATATGCGCATCCAACCCAAAACGCCAATCTCAAAACCCCCATTCCAACCATCCCAGCAATCACCTTCTCCCCAGCGGCCACTCAACCTCCAACCCCAAACTTCTATCAATCGCTCTCCCCTCCCTCTCATCCCTCCTCACACTCTCACCCATAACAACAGTCGCGCACCTCCTAAGCACCTCCTGCCCCGTAATCAACTCCCCAAGCTTTCCCGGCGCACAATCGCCCACTTGGAGCCTCTTCCCCGTAACCTCAAGATACTCTTCTTCATTCTCCAGAGTGAGCAACTGCATGAAAACGCTGCACATAACAACCAACTCCTCCGTCATCTCCATGCTGTAGCCCCAGGCGTGGAATATGGCGCCTACGTAAGGTAGGTTTCCGTTTCGGGAGATGAATTGGCGGAGGAGGTAGTGGTTTGTGGCTGAGAGGGGGGTTGGGGGCACGGTGGAGGGGTTGAAGAGGGCGGGGTGCTTGAGGTGCGTTGTGTAGAGCTTGTCGAGGGCTTTGTAGTGTGTTCGTGTCCAGGGTTCGATTTTTGGGAGGGGAGTTAGGCGGGAGATGATTGGGTGAGGGGATGGTGGTGGTGGTCGGAGGATGGTGGACTTTACGCGGTCTACGAGATGCGGTTGCTGGGGTGGAGATGTGGCAGGCCGGCTGCTTGCTTCTGGGCTAGCTTGCGACTCCTCGCTGATGGAACTTTCGATTGACTCGTCGACAACCTGAGGGCCGTTGTAGCGGGCGGATGGTCGTTGTGGTGACGATGCGGGTGCCTCTTCGGATTGATGCGAGGCCTGGGAAAGTGGCGAAGGCTTGCGGGCAGATAACAAGTTTTGCTGAAACCGTTGCTGCATCTTTGGTGGACTAGACGGAAGACGACTGCGATCTTGGTGCAAAACTCTGCTGGGGTCCTCAGTGACCTCGGTAAGGTCGTTTAAAGTCCGCTCTTGCGGCTCGTAGGCATCCAGATATTCATTCGCTTCCTCACGCACGCGAACTATCGTAGAAGCTGTGTTACCCTCCATCTCTACACGGAATTGTCGTTGATCGGATGCTGCAGAGATTTTGCTATCGCCATCCACAATGGTGTGGAACGGTGAGCTTTGAGCAAGTGGTAGTGTAGACTCTTCAAACTGCACCGAACTTGTTGAGATATCGGCGCTTTGAAGTTCTCGCCTCAAAGGACTGCTCTTCTTTGGTGAACTCATGAGTGCAGGGAAGCGAGGTGGTGTGTCAATGAACGGGTTTGTCTTTGTTGTCGGAGACGGCTTCTTTGTCGCCATGGGCGGCGGCGAGGACTCTGGAACGAAGCTTTCACCTTGGTCAAGAAGTTCAGACAGGCTCGCTTTCTCCTTCTCTTGTCTTCGCTGCCGTCGTTGTTCGAAGCGAGATGGTCGCTTTTGGTTGAAAACATTGGGCATATTCGACTGGAAAAACATGCCGGTGTCATCACTGGCCTCGCTTGCCGGACTCGACTCATCGTCAATCTGGATCGGCTTGTCTTCCTCCAGTGGAGTTACGACATCCTCCTCCTGCTCTTCCTGTTCGTCTTCGTCTTCGTCAACTTCGGGTGGTTCTATGACTGCAGGTTCCGCCTGGACAGGGCTCGGTTCTCGCTGTAACTCGACTTTATTGTTGCGAAGAGCTTCATTCGCCTTTCTACGACGCCAGGTTCTTGCAGCCGATTTGGTGGGAATGTCCTCTGTGAAGACGTCGCGGAGCGACTTCTCTTCTTCCACAAGGGCTTCCTTCTGTATAGGCGCTTCCTCCTCCTCAGCTGAGATCAGCGAACGACTAGCCTCTTCTTGCCAGATGTCAGCGAAGTCATCCCATTGCGCAGGTTTGTCTGCCTGTTCTGCAGGTTGACCGTGCCGGGATTTTTCCATCTCATCATCTCTTTCCGTCAAGCCAGTTCGTTTCGCTGGAGGTGTGTCTGCCCGCCAGCTCATCTCACCCTCGCTCCTTGCAGGGCTCACCGGTACACTCTCCTCTTGGACATTCAAAACCGGGTATTGCACCTCGTCCACTGTGACGGTTGGCTCCACTGATGAGACGGCATGATCCTGGTCTTCGGGAGTAAGAAGACGTGACTGACGTTTTCGATGCGTTCGGAACACACCTTGTTTGGGGGCTACGGTAGGATAGCTTTTGATGGGACTTGAAGGAGCGGGCACACTCTCTTCATATGGCTGGCCCGCAAGCTGCTCACCAAGACGTAAGCCCGCTTGAAGCTCTTTCCGCGTGCCCTCGCTGAATCCCCGGAATAGATCATCAAGCTCGTCGCGCTTCTTGTCGAGTGCCTGTTGAGGAGGTTCGGGCGTAGACGAAAGACGAGTGGGATCCAGCAAGCCTTGTAAAGCTACGCCAGCGGTAACTACACGGCCGAGCGTCGGTGTTTGAGCTTTGGGTGGACTAGGCTCTAGAGCGGGCGGCGCTGATGGAATGTCGGCATCTATAACAGGTGTCACGAAACGCGATAGTTTTGGCCGTTCAGAGCGCGAGGGTGCTGTGAAGGTCTGGGATGGAGGTGCGGGCTCTCCGCTAGTCGATGGTCCAGCCTTGTGCGTTATAGCTGTATTTGGCTCGGGATATTCGTTTCTCAGTGATGATCCGATGGCTGGCGCTGTGGCGTTGTGGGTATCTGCAGGCTTTCGCGTACTTCGCGGTCCGTTACTAAGCAACGTATCAAGTGAAATCATAGTGAAGCTCTCGTTGCCAACTGTGTCGTCTCGCATCCTCATCGTCCCCTCGTCAAAAGCGGCATCTGCGGTATTTCGATCATCGGGTTCGTTGTCTTCGAAGGCTTGAGCTTGGTCATCTTCCGCATCGCTCGCATGGGCGGAGCTTTCGCTGGGTGTTGGGAGGCTGGCATGGCCATCTTCCGAGAAATCGAGATCCTCGGGCTGTATAGGCTCTGCGTCGTCTCCACTCGTCGGCGTAAGAACATCGCTTCCCTCCTCTTCGTGCTCGTCAGATTCCATGAGTACCACTTTGTTCGCATGTGGGGTGCCCTTGCGCGTTCGCAAATCCTGCCTCGTGCTCCTCTGTATCGGCGAGCTCAAGTTGGGTAATTCCTCAGCCTGCATCAACGCATCGCTCATGGTCTCGGTAGTGGGGCCGGGAAGATCTGCGAAATGCGCGCTCTTTTTTGAGGTTCCGGACTTTGAACTCGAAGGAAGTCCAGGCGTAGTATCTTGCACCGACCCTTCCCGTGTCCCTGAATCCTCGGCCACAGCGACGACCTTCCTGGGCCGGCCTCTCCGCTTCTTTGGCGGCACATCGGTGTCCACATCGGCTGCACTTGACTCTCCACCCTTCATATTCAACTCGCGTGACCCGGATCGTGCGCGTCTCTTGACTGGCGTTCCCTTCCTCTTCGGCTTAGGAGTGGCTCCCACGTCAGACTTCCTCGGCCGTCCGCGGGGGCGTTTGACAGGCGACGAGGCATCAGGGTCCTTCAATGGCACGGTCGTCGTCTTGGTTCTCGTTGTGACCCGCTTCACGGACGGGGATTCTGCGTTGACGTCGTCGCTTCCGGGTTCAGCCTGGACGGTGACCTTGATGCGCCAGGGGCTCGCGCCGCCGCCTCGTGGTGTGCTCATGATCATGGACTTGGTGGGCGACGAGAACATCATCTCCGAGGCCTCGAGTCTGCGGTTCTGCTTGGTCGGCGAGCTGCCCGCCATGGAGTCACGCGGCCTGGGCTTGCGGGCGGATGTGATGGTGTTGTCGAAGGAGAGGGCCAGCGGATCCGGGCTCGAGTCGTAGCTGCGATCGGTATGGGCATCGTCGCCTGCCGTTGCGCTTCGGCCGCGGGGCGCCATGTCTTAGAAACGGTCGGAGGGGTGTCTTGGTTGTTAGTGCGAGAGGAATGCATGTGGGTGGGGAACAATCGTGCGGCATCCGTCAGAATGCGGGACGGGCCACGCGCCGTCGTCGTAGCAACTATCTTATCACGCGCTGCTAGGCGCGACACCACCAACAAGGCAGCCCGCGAGACGATCGAGTGCAGACTACGGAGGCGCGATGGGTATTCATGGGTGAGTTGCGCATTCTCCTAAAAATTATTCCTTGCTGACTTGCGCAGTATCTACAAGGAGATCGGCCCTGGCAAGCGCGTAGCCCTGTCAAAGCTCGCCGTCGAAAAGTTCGAAGAGACCGGACGCCCGCTGCGCATTGCTATCGACACATCAATATGGCTCTTCCAGATACAAGCTAGCAAAGGTAGGGCTTCTGCACTATGCGCATGCTTGCGCTATGCTGACTGTGAATAGGCGGCACCAATCCGGCATTGCGCACCTTCTACTACCGTCTCCTTCGCCTCGTCTCGCTCGCCATTCACCCCGTCTTCGTCTTCGATGGACCAAACAAGCCGCCCTTCAAGCGCAACAAACGCACCGGCCCGAACGTTGCATCCATCCCCGAATTTCTTGCAAAGCAGCTATTGAAGCAATTTGGATATCCGATACATCTTGCGCCAGGTGAAGCTGAGGCAGAATGCGCGCTACTTCAGCGAGAGGGAATAGTGGATGCGGTTTTGAGTGAAGATGTCGACACACTCATGTTTGGAAGTGGCATTACGATACGCAACTGGTCACCGGAGAAGACGGGAAAGACGCCAACACACGTCAACGTATACGATGCGCTCGAAACGAAGAATGGACCGTCGGGACTGGACCGCGAGGGCATGATATTGGTCGCGCTGATGAGTGGAGGAGATTACGTCCCTGAGGGTATACCTGGATGTGGCCCAAAGACAGCATGCGAGGCTGCGAAGGCAGGTTTCGGCGCCGACCTATGCAAGATCCCGAGAAATGACACCAGAGCCATATCCCAATGGCGAGAGCGACTGCAGCACGAGCTCAAGACGAATGAAAGCAAGCACTTCAAGCGGAAGCACGGTGCACTGAAGATCCCAGACGACTTCCCGCGTCTTGACATCCTTGGATACTATACACATCCCGCCATTTCGAATCAAGCTGGATTGGATAAACTGCGCCGATCGATCAAATGGGACCAAGAGCTGGATTTTTCCGGCTTACGCGAGTTTACGCACGATGCGTTCGACTGGGTCAAGCTTGAAGGCGCAAAGCATTTCGTCCGCAGTTTGGCGCCTTCGATGGTTGTGCGCCAGCTACGTATACGCGCTGGAAACCTCGATCGACTACCTACGAACAACCTCCAGGCGGTACAAGAGGACGAAGCTCTTCTCATCAAAGGCCTGCATGGCAAGCGACAACATTCGGTCACGGATAACTGCACAGAACTGCGAGTAAGCTTCACGCCCATTGAGCTTGTCAAGATCGACCTTAGTAAGGAGGATCCGGACGATGATGTGGAAGTACCACCTAGTTCTCAGCAAGCCGGAGGTGATGCGGAGCTTGATGATGAGGATCTGGAAGATGAAGGCCCTAAGAAGCGTGGACCTACGAAGTTCGATCCAGAGAAGGCTGCGAGAATCTGGGTGATGGAGACTTTCGTCAAGGTTGGTGTGCCGCTCACGGTTGAAGATTGGGAAGCCGGACGACAGACGAAGCTGAAGCCTAAGCGAGCACCAACTGTGCAAGAACCTGGCAAAGCTGCACCAAAGGCCAAGGCTGCTCCTAGGCGGACGAAGACAGCTGGGGACCAACCACAGGCTCGTATCGAAACGTTTGCCAAAGTAACAAAACCGGGCTCAAAGCTTTCGCGAGCTCTCGCAAAGACACAGGACAACGTTGCTGAAGCCCCTTTACCTGTCCCACAGCCTGCGCCACAACAAGATGATGTGATTGATCTGCTATCTTCCTCCCCAGTAAGGACTCGGGTCGCTGTACAGTCGCCCCCGCCTGAACGCGAGAAGTCGTTGTCCCCTCCCCTCGCAGATCTACCTCCAAGTGTGAGCAAACGGAGAAGACGAGCTCCTATCCAGCGCTCCAAAACACTCCCCGCTGATATCAGTGCGGTTCTCGATCGACCATCGACGCCTCCTCTTCTAAACACGATAGAAACATTGGACTTGGTAGATTCGCCTGCCCATCCCTCACCTTCACAACTACCCGCCAAGAAGGCGAGAACACGAAGGACTAAGGACGGGCCAGCTACGACAGCGTCTCGAGATGCTTCTGTAGCCCTGTCTCCTAGCAAGTCAAAGCAGTCAACATTAGATGCATGGCGAGTATCAGTGACGCCGACCAAGCGACGGGGCGTGACACCAGCACTCCATGCAGCACCACCACCCCAACTCCGATCCTTGTCAGAAGAAGTCGACTCGCTGGACTTGACGCTTTCTTCGCCGGCACGAGAAACACGACATCAACAAAGTGCCAGTACCGGCGCACTACCAACTGCGAAAACATCTACGACACGTCCACCATTAACATCGATTTCATCGAATGCGTCGCACGCTCCCTCGAACTCGACATCATCAACAGCCTCCATACCCAACAAGAAGAAGAGTATAAGAGACATATTTGGCCCATCTCAACCTCGACGTACTTCACCTCGTTTTGGTAAAACCATGTCTGCGCCTCTCGGAGTCGACTCCCTCGATCTCACATCACCAAAGCTTATTGCAGCCAAACCTAGGTCGGAATCTCCAACGGCTGATACTCTAGACCTCACATCGCCAGAACCTATCCCACCGAGACCACGATCCGCATCTCCAAATGTCGAGACACTTGACCTCACAGAACTGTCATCCCCCGTAATCGAGCACGCCCCAGCGCCGATAGCACCTGCACCAATGTCCCCTCCACCAACCCACACCTCACCCTCGTCCCTCCGCCGCTCACCACGCGATCGCAAATCTACATCACCACAGCCACCATGTCGCACCTCACCGCCAGCAGCATGGAAGGCACGAGAAAAGAAGAAACGCGCGATTGTTCTGCGAAAGAGCGTAGTCGGCGCATGGACCTATGTAGATGTCGATAGTCTGGAGAAGACAGCAGATGGTCAAGGAGGGCTTATACTCAAGGGCAAAGAGAGACGGAAATGGCGCGAGAGTGCTGTTGAGATGTTGGATCTGACATAAATCTGGCTGGATGTGTTTTAGGATGGAAGGACTGCGTTTCGGTCCTTTTCGAGACATGTCTTGGTTCGCGTTACACGATGGATACGAAGCGCGGAGTTTATCGAATATACCACGTTGAATTCCTACCTCTTCTTTCCATGACCGTGGGGCTGCTACACTATCTGTACCATACAAAACACCCTATCAACAACAACGAGTGGGATATAGTATCACGCAGATGTACTCCGTATCTTCAAGATGTTGAACCCCTGCAGTTAATCCCAGACCCTGCGCGCGTTCACACCAAAACCTGCTCCCTACCCCAGCCTCACTCCCAATCCAGCCCATGACGTCATACGCCCGAACCTACACCACCAAGGCACGCGGCCATGCATACAAAGGATGCGCACCACTTTCATCCGCGGAGTGTCCTCCGTTACCAACCTCTAATATTCCTCTTCTTGAAAAGAATCAATAAAGCATATACCCCAATTTGCGAGTCGCGATACCCGTTATACCTACCACCAGCGCATCCCAAATACAGCTGAAAAAGACAGGACGGGTAATTCTTCAACATGACACAAGCCGTATCCAAACAAGATACCTCAGCGCAGCAAGTACAGCAGCAGCGTCAAGGCGCGGGAAGTAGAGAGGTGCAGGAACATCATGCTAGTGCGAATGCTTCTGTATGTCCTTCATATCCATTCCCTTTCCCTTTCCCCTGACTTCTCTCGATACCGCATCACACAGTATCATTTACAGTACTGTGAGATGCACTATGATGGGTATACGTGTAGTATGGGTTGAATGGGTAAACCTGTGCTAACAGAGAATAATAGGCCGGTCTGAACCTCAACCTCTTCGGCGCCCTCTCCGGCGCCTTCTCCTCCAAGCAAAAGAAGACTACGCATCAGAACGCTGATGGATCGAGTGTGACGGAGGAGGATAGGCATGATAAAGGTGAGCATCCATCCCATCCCCTTCCATACCACATGCAGCGGATTCTCCATTCTTATACCTCTTTTTATTACCTCGTCGTTTGATGACAGGCTTGCTAATTAGGTTGTGTAGGTACCGCAAGTGCAGCAGCCGGCGGTAGAGGAAGTGCATATGCGGCGGGTAATGCACAGCAGAGTAGTTTGAAAGCGAAGGAGAGTGGGGTGGGGCAGGAGAGTAGCCAGGGGAAGAAAGTGGAAAAGGTTGATCATTTGGGGATTGAGGGGTAGGAAGGGAAGGATGGGAAGACGGATAGAGGTGGTGATGTTGAAATGCTTCAAGGATAAGATAATACTAGACGTCGAGTGGCTATGATTATGACTACATTAAACTATCCAAAACGCGTGGATGCTAGACGTGACAACATTGCGACACTAAGTACGATGATAACACCATCCTTTCATCTTCATGAATAAATTCCACAGGCCAAAAACGCCATATTCAACCCAATATACCAAAACCCAGCCTGAACACCTTCCAAAAAAAAGCGCAAATCCTTACTAAACCGCTCCACCAATCCTACTCAACCCCTCAACCCCCCTCTTAGCAGCAACAACATGCCAAGGCAACGTTCCATTCCTCGTTCCGCGCATCCCCCTCAACTTCGCCAGCAACCCCAACGCCCTAAACTGTCCTAGCACTTCCTTCAACAGTCCCTCAGCCGTTGTCCTCGTCTGCGGCGTAGGCGTCCACATAAGACTCGTCGTACTCCTCTGTGCGGGATCCTGACCCGGTCCTGGACTCTGCGGCGTACCTGGGTTACTAGCGTATGGATTTGGCAGGCCAGCCCCGCCTGGACTAGGGAGGTCAGAAGAGGCGGAACTGCTGCTGCTGGTGGAAGATGGCGGGAAAGGGGAGGAAGCAGCGCGGGTAGAACCCACGGCGCCGATCCAGAGGAAATTTACTGCTACGACGATAGGGCCGGGTTCTGGGTCTGGGATGGGGTGCGAGATGCTGTTGTTTGTTTGTTGGGTTTCTCCGCGTTTGACGAGGAGACCTGAGATCAGGGCAGGGCTGAATTGCGTTGTGGAATGTGTGTTGTGGAGGCGATGGGCGAGGATGACGCCCCATGTTTCGTCTGTCACGTCGACTAGGCGGGCTTCGGGATCTGCTGTTGGGTCCGTGACAGAGGGGTCGGCCGAAGGTGTTGCAGCGGGTGTTAGGCCTGGTCCTGGATCGGAGGGGGAGACGCCGGCTTGGGACGTGGAGTCTGGAGGGCTTGCACCGCCGCCGGTGGTTGTGCTTGGAGCAGTCATGGTGGGTATGAACTTGTATGGTGGATCCGCGTCTACTGCTGTGAGTAATGTGACGAACACGTTGATCTGTGTCGGACACGAGATCAAGTAGACCCATGTCTCCAATTCCTCTCTTTCCAGAACTCCGGCTTTCGCAATGCAAACACGCCAGTTGACTCGTCGCGATTGTAAGATCTCGATAGTCGTCTGCCAAATCTCTTTCGCAACCTCTCTGAACACGCGCGTGCCTAGATGGTACGAGACGACAGCTTGTGACTTGCCGCAGCTGTCGGTCCAAGCTGCTGTCACCCACGTGCCATCGAGGCTGATCGCGTACGCAAGGTGCATATAGGTATTCTCTCGAAGCAGGTCCTGCGCTGGCTCGGGGATAAGCTTGAAGGGTATGTTTCGTGGAAGCGTCTCCTCGAGATGGAAAGCAGGTGCCGCATATATGCTGAGAGATGTCTTGTCGCTATTAGGTGCACTCGGCGGGCATCGATCGTAGACCTCTCGTGCAAGGCTGAAGTAAGTAGCTGGATCTAGAATGACAGGGGCGTCGAACGAAGCGATGTACTTGATCGGTATAACCTGAAGCACCAGATCCGGCTTCTGGGGCTGATCTGGACGTCCTGGTGTTCCTTGACCATATGCTTGGAAGAGCGCCCAGAAGGCCGAGCACAGTTCCCAGAGCGCAGACGGACCACCGAAAGGATCGATCATGTAGATGACGAATGCATCGATCTTTGAATCCTGTTGCTCCCGTATCTTCGCATGCTGTATGGCGAGAAGCTTTCCGAGCTGGACGCAGGTCTCTCTGAGGAGCTTGAATGTCTCTGACGGTGTGATGGACGAACTGGCCCTTACAGGCACAAGACCTCCTTCAAACTCGACAACCGTCTCGACGCGAGAGTGTGAACCGAGCTTGCAGCTGTCGTAAGCAAGCTGAAGGTTAAGCAGGAAGTTCTCAAGGCATGGTCGGAGAGCATCGCTATGCGGGTATACGCAGAACGTAACGATATTCTTGGGAGGACTGATGGGTGACAATCCTAAAGGCTCCCAGAACGCTACTGCTGGTGGAAGCAAATCCCAATGCGTCTCCGCACGGCGTACCCTCAAGAATGGTGCGTTGATCTGGTACATGTGGCTCCCGGTAACTGCCGGGCCGTCACTCTTCCGTGCAGGTGGCCTCTGCTGCGCTTTTGCCAGAGCAGCATAGTCCTGGAAGACCTCGTGCACGCCTACAAGTGTAGGCAGGTCACAATCCTCAGCCGTTGGGAAGAGCTCCCTAAGGACGGTCTGCCAACGAATCTCCGCCATCGCGTCGTTCCCAGATTCTCTTTCGAGAGGTGTATCCTCTCCTAATAGATCGAGGGTAGCAGACACAATCTGGTCTGTCACAATCTGTGTAATCGAGATGCTGTCCTTGGCACTCAAAGGCTTCTCTTCTGATACTTCGTAACTCATCTCAGGCTGAGAGGTGGGAGTGTCAGGCATCTGCGCTGGATTTGTCTGTAGAGCAGGTAGGCTGTAGCGCGCACCGGCTAAATGTCGTTCCACTGGAGAGGGAAAATGAACCAAAGACCAATCCCATAGACTTGGCTCGAAGTTGTTCAGGTTCGACTCATCAAGTTGGAGACCATGCAAATCATGCCAATCGCCACCCATTGAGTCCGCAAACGACGTTACCGAAAGCGGCGTGGCGTTCCCCTCGCTTTGTAACTTCCTCTTCACAGGCATGACGAGTCCGCCAATGGTAGCAGTTGGCGTTGCTTCCACTTCCTCATCTTCTCCAGAGTCTTCATCAGACTCGTCTGACGACTCGCTGGTGTCTGAATCTTCACTGGCTGCTCGAGCCAGAGATGCTATCTCTGGTATTTGGTGCGTCGACGCGGCACCTACAGTGATACGAAGCTTCGTAAGCAGAGGGATGTCTCTTAGACTTTTTGTTTGGGTGACTGTGACCCCAGCACTAGGACTAGGGCTGGAGATACTGTTACGACCATGTTCCACAGAGTGATGCGTGCTGAATCGTCCATCCTGATACTTGGCGTCGGACATGCTCATCTTGCGACTGAAAGCCACCGGGCTGAAGTGAGCATCGTGTGGGGTATCCGTGGGTTGATTCGATCGGGTACGCGATGCCTTTTTGTTTGGCGGAGATGGCTGGAGTGCCTTGGAAACAGCGCTCGGGCTTAGTGGTGGAGTTGGCTCCTTGGAGAATGACACTTTTGCTCTTGGTGTTGGGACCGCAGTTTTCTCCTCAGGCAGGTCGGCGCTTTCGTTCGGGGGTCCTTCCACGGCCATAGGCTGTTTGCCTTTGTCTTCTTTCTTCACATCCATGAGAGGCTCAGAAGCTGTGTTCAACGCACTTTCGAGTGCAGCGAAAGGGTCAGACGTGTCTTCTTCTGCCTGGGATCCCGTAGCAACTTGAGAATCAAGCTTTTGTGATGTGCTGGCAGGAGCTACACTTGTATCTGGCAGCGCGGGTGCGTCCATCATGTCAATGTCGTTGTCGTCCGGTCCGTCGAAGAAGTCGAAATCCGTGTCGTTGATGCGATCCCCTCCATATCCATCTTCGTCCATATCGTCGCCGAAAAGATCATCGTTTCCACTAGTGGTGTTGAAGTTGTCCGGTGCAGAAGGAGCGACCGGTGACGTCGAAGGCATTTGTTGATCGTCCATCTTGGTGTCGTCTTGTGGAGCGGAGAGATTGATGGCAGGGTTACTGCCTCCGGGTGCTAGGATGACGTTGGAGACTGTGCCAGACACGCTTGGTGTATCGCTATGGGAGACTGCAGTTCCGGGAACAACGCCATCCGGGGGTGTCGGGTAGACACCGCTTACAGGATGCAGGTCACCGTAGGCACCGCGGGCATTTACGGGCGATGACGGGATTAGGTTCTGTTGTTCGTCCTTACGACGGGCAGCGTCCTCTTCAGCCTTCTTCGCTTTTCGTCTCGCTTCAAGAATCTTGTCACGATCTGGCTTCCGTAAAAACCACTCTTGTGCAGCATCAAGTGGATCCTTAAAGCCCATTGATTCTGGCGTCTCGTACCATCTCAGCATACTGTGGCCTCCAGCTGCCGCCACACTAGCCGGCTCCGCAGACGTCATCTCGTACTCTTCTGATCCGTGAAAGAAGCACAGTGCTCTGGGCCAGAGGACGTCCCGATCCTGACTTGCTAAAGCCGGGCTCGAAACCAGAGGGCTATTGGCTGAGGTCATGCGTATTCTAACCCATGAGATTTTCTTCTCAAGGTCAGGCAAAGTGAAGCCCTTCCAGCCCAGCCAACGCTTGACACTCGACTTCCAGTTCTCAATGCTCTGCTCTAGGGTCGCGAGTCTAGTGCGTTTCCTATGACGGAGGCCTGTCTCCTCTACGATGGAGTCAAGCGGATCTTCAAGGCTCGTTATTGTTGCAAGCAGGCCATTTGGAGCCACTCGGATACATCTACCAACAAGAGACTGCTCTCCAACTTGCGTCGACACGTCGCCAACGCAACGAATATCAGTCTTTTGGTCAGTGAAAGTCGATACGAGGAGCGTGCCGGAGCTGGCCCAATGTACATTAATGCTTGTAATGCGATGTACGCAGTCTGGTGGTTCAATCTCATCTTCATCATCGTCTATCTGCTTGTAGGCCTTGGAAACAAACGTGCGGAAGTTCAAGGCAGTCACATTGCAATCTTTGACGATGTTGAACGAGATGAGAGCAATGACGGACGATGTGAAGAGCTCATAGACTGTGAAGCAATCGGGCAGCGCAGGGGCATCAGATGCCGAGGCCTGGCTGTTGCCCTGTGACGATCTCGCACTGCCAGCAGGCAGGCCCCTTTGTGGTGCTGTTGCCGATGGGGAATTGTTCGAAGCCGCGGTGGTGTTGGGGTTGCCCGGGCGCATGGGAGGCCGTGCTAAATCGATGGCCTTGGTGCATCCCGTCTGCTCGCCTAGCATGTGTCAGTCATAATTCCGGGAAGGTACGAGTGGAACGTACTGTTCAGGCGATAGCCGTCGAGCTCTGGGAGGTCGACATTCGGCTCTATCTTATCGACGGTCGCGGGCTTGAACAGCCATAGCCACGGTCGCGATGCATCCTGCGCAACGAGGTGCAGGTCCTGTCGCAGCTCAGCTTCGACTGCGCGTATGTCGTCGGAAACATTCCAGTCTCGCGTTCTCGAGGAGGTGGGGGTGGTGGTGCGGGTGATTGAGAAGGCGTGATATGCGACAGCCTCAAAGTCTCCCTATATATTGTCAGCGTGCCATCGCGTACAAAGACGTTCCGACGTACTATAGCTTGCGCATTCGTAGTACAGGTTTTGAGAAATTCCATTAGAGAGATGGCTCCTTGTTAAGGGACATTCAGGTGGTATGCGCGGCGTATTTTCACTCCCAAGACTGCGCTGTACACTTTTTCCATCAACTCCGCTGCGGTCCGCCCAGCGCGTCACGCGCGACAGTGTCTATCAGAGCGATGGGAGTTGTGGTGTGGGCGGGGCGTCGAGGGTCGAGGGTCAGTGTATCGGCATGATCTAGACGCGTAGGAGAAGTGATCATGGCTCCGAACACGGGGAGAGAGCCGGATACAGTAAATCGGCGCCTCCCGATTGCAACGACGTGGTACAGGGTGGGCAGTATAAGCACTTGAGGAGCAGAGCGACTGGACCCGGCAGCCAAAAAGCATGTGCATGCGATGTCAGCTACTCGGAAGAGGCAGACGGCGGCTGGCTCGCGGTCGCTAGCTCACATCCATGTCGCCCGGGCGGAGTTGCGCTTAGTACTAACGGCCCCACTCTTTTTTCATCGCGAACTTCCAAAGGTTCTTTGCTGCCGCTCTGTCGCATTACCTCACTACGCCACCATGAAGATCTCCTCAGGCAACGTTCCGGTATACACCATCAGTGGTAGCGAGGCGCGGCCGCTGCCAGAGTGGCTTATTCGGAAAAGAAAGCGCAGTCTGAAGAATGACCCCGAATTCGCCAACCGCGTCGACCTGCTGCAAGATTTCGAGTTTGAGGAAGCCAGCCAGTGTGTTCGTGTGAGCGAGGATGGCGACTGGGTCATGAGCACGGGCACATACAAGCCCCAAATACACGTTCACTACCTCCCCCATTTGTCGCTGTCGTTTGCAAGACACACCAACACTCTTGTTCGTTCTTTCCGTTCTTACCATCCACCCGCAATATATACTAACTTTCGCAGAACCAAACCTTCCACCTCCTCTCCTCCGACGCTACCAAGAGCGTACACCTCCAGCAAGATCGATGCATCGAGTTCCACACCGGTGGGGGCCTCCACTATGCGAGTCGCATACCACGTTACGGTCGCGATCTCGTCTACGACCGGAGATCAGCAGAGTGTCTGGTACCCTCAGTCGGTGTCAACGCGGACGGCATGGGCGAGGCCTTCAGACTGAACCTGGAAGTCGGGCGCTTCATGAGAAGTTACGAGATTGACGTGGGTGGTGACGATGTGACGACAGTCGGCGGCGGCGCTCTCCAAGGTGGCATCGGCGCAGGCGCAGTGAACACCGGTGCTATCGCCGAACAGTCGCATGGTCTCCTTGCGTTCGGTACCTCTATCGGCACAGTTGAGTACTGGGATTCGCGATCAAGAAACAGAGTGGGCATTCTGTCGGCGCCTCCAGATGCGTTTGAAGGAAAGTCAGAAATCACAGCGTTGACCTTCCCCTCGTCGGGTCTGGAAGTTGCCGTGGGAGACTCCAACGGCATTGTACAACTCTACGATCTTCGATCACCCAAACCACTTCTGCGAAAGGACCAAGGATACGGCTACCCGATAAAGAACATCATCTACCTCGACGGCGCGCAGACTGCCGAGCCCAAGATTCTGACCGCAGACAAGAGGGTCATCAAGATCTGGGATCCAAAGGATGGCACGCCATGGACCTCCGTAGAACCATCAGTAGACCTCAACCACGTTGAATGGGTACCAAAGACCGGTATGCTCTTGACGGCAAACGAGGGCAGGCAACAACATTCTTTCTTTATCCCACAGCTCGGTCCAGCGCCGAGATGGTGCTCCTTCCTCGACAACATCGTAGAAGAAATGGCCGAAGACCCCAACGACCCCAACGCTTTCGGCAAGGGCGCATCTGGAGATGTATACGACAACTTCAAGTTCCTGACACACGAGCAGCTGAAGCAGCTATCATTGGACCACCTTGTCGGAACTACAAGCCTACTCCGACCCTACATGCACGGATTCTTCGTCGCCCAGAAGCTGTACGAAGAAGCGCGCCTCATCTCGAACCCAGACCTCTGGCAAGAACAGCGCGCCAAGAGCATCGCAGAGAAGATCAGCAAAGAGCGCGAGAGCCGAATCCGCGGCAACAAAAAGGTGGCCGTCAAAGTCAACAGAAAGCTGGCCGAAAAGATGCTGGAAAAGCAGGAAGAGCAAGAGCGCCGGCGAGCCAAGCGCGTCCTCAAGCAAGGCGGCGACGACGACATGCTCGACACCACCACCGCCCCCGCCGTCGAAGAACCTACCAAACCCGCCGATGGCGTCCTCAACGACCCTCGTTTCGCCAAAATGTTCGAAGACCCCGAATTCGAAATCGACGAGCAAACCCGCGAGTTTCAACAGCTCAACCCCAGCACCAAGATCCCCAAGGGCCTCACCGCCGCCGAGCAAGAAGACCTCGAATCAAGAAAAGGCTCCTCTGACTCCGACTCGTCAGACTCCGAGAAAGACGCCGTTCGTCCTGCGAAGAAACCCCGACAGCAGAAAGACAAACAAGACAACTCCCGCATCTCCTCCAGCGCCTATCGCAAAGCGGGGCACCGCTCGCAACGCGGCCCCGAAATGGTTGTTTCCTCGTCGAACCAACGGAAATCGGGTTCTGCAACGGCAAAAGACAAGACGTTTGGTTCGCGTGTGTCTAAGCTCAAAGACAGGAAACCGGCCAAGTCGGCGAGTAACACTACGGTTGTGGGTGAGCGGGAGATTACGTTTGCGCCGGAGAAGAAGCAGAGGAAGAGGCCGGAGCAGGAGGGGCAGAGGCATGATCGGAGGAAAGAGGGGGGGAGGAGGAATGCTAGTAACAATGTTTTTAGGAATATGTAGTGTTTTCAAAAGTGAATGGGTGGGAGGGATGGAATATGGAGATGGAGATGGATACTTGGGAGTTGAAATGATACCCTTATCAAAGTGTAAAATACGTGTTGGAGGTGGTGATGTTGTTTATGTGCCATCTTGATTAACAGGAAGACTTACAGAGTAGCTTTGTACTTCAGATATCATGTTCAAGCTTGTAGGTAGGTTGAGGAGGCAGAGTCCATATTGAAGAAAGTTCAATCGATCTATTCCAACCGCTCGTCCTGGCATAATACCGCCCGAACGCAGCGCTGCCTACGCCATATAAAATATAACCCTCTCCATAAGTCAACTCCACATGACAACCGCCTCTATATATGCCAGCCAGCCCCGTAGTGTTTTCCAGGCGGGACTCTTCCTCCTCCGAACCAGAATCGAGATTCTGCTCAATGGTATGTCTGTGTTGTGTGCTTTCTCTACGTGAACAGTCTTACTCGGAAGACTGCTTGTTCATCATGGTGTAGGCAGCGAATGCAAGAGCACCACCAAGCAGGATGATAGCGTAGAGACCGACACCAGTTGACGCGCCGTCAGTGGTAGTAGCGGTTGTGCCGGGTTGCGCGTAGCTCTTGGGCTTTGGGTCGCCCTCCTGTTTTCACTCATCAGTATTGGCGTTCTGTGTACGGATACCGGCATGTTTCGCATCCGCGGAATCATTCCGAAGAAGTTCCTTGACCCTCGGACCGGCATCTGGGCGCGGCATCCGGGGTCGCGCGAAGAGAAGTGTCGGGGGGATTTTGTCTTATCTTGTGTGAAGGGAGGGGAGCCGGGTTATACGTGTATGTGAGGGATGCCGTACCTGACGCTTCAAGTTTCCAACGAGCAGTCCATCGAGGATCTCGCGGGCTTCATCTGAGTGACCGACGTCCTCGAAGGCTTCTGTTGAGTCCTGGCCTCCGACATCAAGAAGAACCTCCTCACCACCTCTGTATACATATTAGCAACTGTTGCTATGACCATTGACCCGACACATGTGAAGGCGGGGCTTTTCGCCATAACAAGTATGAGTATGCGAATGCCGAGGTGACACTTGCGCGGCGGGCAGGTGCAGGGCAGCGAACGTACGGGTGCTCGTCTACGAAGCTCGATGCGTTGTAGACTTTGTCGTGGACGACGATGTATAGGTCCTTCTTGGTGTTGTGCTCCGAGACATCGGAGTAGGTGAATTCCTTGTCGGCAGACATTGTGGTGGTGTAAGGGAAATTCGAGGTACGTGGTCTGAAGTGGGCAAAACCGAGATGGTCGTGTGCTGCGTGCGTCGAGGCGAGGAGAGAACTGGACGGGAGACGGTTGCGTTGACGTGTAGGTGTCAGATGGGAACAGCACGGCGGATAAGAAGTTGTGCACGCTCGTAGCGGGTTGATTAGCTAGCTCTCGGTTTAGGCTTTGCGAGGCGGTTGCGGCCAAAGTCAAATTACGATCCCCCGATTGGCCAAATATTCCGCCCCTCTCACCGACCCTTCCACCAAGGCTTCCGAGCTCCGCCCAGAACGGGTAAGAAGACCCTGTCTGATAGATAGTGGGGCTGCAACAACATCGCGGGGACACCTCATACAAGTAAAAAACTAAACACCCTAGAGTCTACGTTGACATTAGGTCGCTTACTTTGGATGTTTTCATGTTGATGTAGGCTCTAGGGTGTTCAGTGTTTTCCTAGGTCATATCGAGGAGCCAGTTCCGCTGGCATGGGAATAGTTAGGATGGTTGTTAGAGGAATCGCTTGCTATGCTATAATGCTATAATACTGTCTATACCTACTTCTTCTTCTTAAGCCATCATCATCATGACCCCAAAACCTTCACCCTCATCCACTCGCTCGTACCCACCCCAAGATTCAATCCGTTCAACGCCCACCATCTTCGTACGGCATCTCCCCGCGCTCCCTCCACACCATCCTCTAACGCTTCCTCGATGTCACATGTTTTGTACTCCACCTTCAGACCGCTGCGCTTCCACCATTCTAGTACATCGGCATGGCCCATCTTGGTCGGTCCTACGAGGACTTGGTTATCAAAGAGTATTTTCTCGCCGCGAAGTTTGCGCCAGTAGTCTAGGATATGTGTATGACCGTGGGTCGAGGCGATCTTGGCTATTGTGTCTTCATGCGAGAACGGAATGCCAGATTCGACCCAGAAGTGGATCGCGGGTAGGCATCCTGACTGTGTTGCGTAGGTGATGGACTTGCCCACCTTGAGAGGTAAGTCGTCTTGACGGGGTCTGCTAGGAGCTTGTTCATCAATCGGTGAGGACGGCACTGAAGGGGCAGTCCTGTGGCGACTATGCTCCTTCCACCATTTTAGTACGTGAATGTGACCCTGAGAACTAGCTTGCTCAAGCGCGGCTTCTGTATATTTGAGCGAGAGGCCGGAGTTGTACCACCAGTCAAGGGCCTGGACCGAGTTGGTGCGGCTCGCATTGTCAATGGCTTCCGCGGAGTACTCCTTGGTAAGAAAGGTAGGCGACGTCCGCCAGTACTCAAGAATCTCCGTCTTGCCGAATACAGAAGCTTTATGGGGCAGAAAGGTATGCCCGAATGTGCCCCAGAATAGCTCTTTGTGGAACTTTTCCAGATGCGCGAGAACGGGAACCATGGCAAAGCGCATGATGAGTTCGATGCATACGCGGGAGATGCGTGTGGGGTTCTCAGTGTCAAACACAGCCTTGATCTCCGAATAAGGATAGGTAAGAAGTGCCCATTCTATCTTCTGCATCTGCGTCTTGGGGCCTTCGTCGCTAGCCGATTGTCGCCACTCTTTCGGAACGGGCAGGTTCGTGTGGACGTTCAGTGTAGTCGCCAACTCCCAGTCCTTGGTGAATTCCAGGATGATGGACCAGAGCTCTGGGGGCAGCCGAGATCCTTTACTTCGCGTAGGTGTCAGTGTTGGTAGATGGGCAATAGGTAGTGCGATAGTGCGATCACCAACGGCCATCAAATCAATCTGGGTTTGTATAGATTCATTGAAAGCTTTGTGCCCTTCTACCCACGGGTGGTACTTGCGCCCGGAATGGTCGAAGGACCACAAGAACGGAGGGAGTACGCGGATCCAGTTCCACTTCCGCCGGATCTTGCTGATCTGCTTCCTCGACATGGGGTTCTCCCACATCAGCGTGGACATTCCCGGTATGAGCATTATCTTCTTGGACACATTCCAGCTGCGCAAGATCTTTAGGTGCAGGTTTGTTGTGAATCCATGGAGCATGCGGGCGAGATTCTCGGCGTCAAGCGGTGCGAGGACGAGCAAGTCGGCCCATGAGCAGTACTCGGCCACGTTGGTCTCCTGGTAATCCGCATGTTGCCACTCGGGCGTCGTGTCGCTCTCGGGGTCATACGTGTACCAGACGGGCTCGAGCTGGGGCGGGACAGTCGTGTGCGTGGTGGTCGGGAAGTCCTTGCATGCGATGATCTTCAGAGAAACATGCTGGAGGCGATGCAGGCGCGCAACGACAGAGCAGCCAAAGCGGAAGGCCGAGGGGTCAGTGAGGGCGACGAGGACGTTTAGCGTTCGCGCGGGTGTTTGCGAGGACATTGAGGGGTGGCGTGTGGGAGTCTGTAGGTTGCGGTGAGCGCCTCGCTCTCCAGATGTCGACACTGCATCCACCGTTACGTTAGACCGCGATTGGCCGTTGCCCCACCAGAGTTGCTGTCAGTAGCTGCCAAGTCCAGACAGTGTCAGGCACGAAGGGTGCATGGACGTTTGGGGACATAAAGCCATTGATGCTATACTGTCGCGAACGGGGGTGACGGCCGCATTCAAAGGGCCGACCTCGTTACGTGTACGCGTCAAACATGAAGTAATTCCATGGTGCATCGTTGGTCCATCGATTCGTCAGAGCTTGGCGGATCGTCGAAACATTTTGCACGCCATGGGCCGGGATCACGTGAGATCGGCGCGTCCTGCCCGGGGCAATCTGTAGCATTCTGGGGACAGCAACAGGTCCGCGGAACGGCGAGGCAGCGTACCACTGTTCATGCGAGCGTGTCTGGTGCCTTCTGAGCCCTCTGACAGCTGTCATGGATATCTGTGTGAGACCCGGGTGTCATTAGCCGACGCCTCTTATGGTGGTGAGGACAATAAACAAGCAGATGACTGCCGCCGCGTCTCACAAAACACCCGTGGACACTCCACGTTCGGCGTCGAGCCAGCCGTGGGCGCGTCTCACCGATGACGTAGGCCTTTTCCGCCCTGACTCCCGCGTCGAGTGGGTCCGACTAATGGAAATGTCGAATATCCATGCTTTCGTCACTAAGAGCTTTCATGGCCTAACCTGCATCTTGCCCCTAACCTACCTTCAACGAGCTTAGATCGTCGATCGCAGAGATAGAGCGACCTAACCCAAGACGTTCGCGATCGACATCTGGAGGCGCATCAAGCCATTCAAGGCTCCGGATGGCAGTCATCTATCTCATCAACTAGACGGTGACGCGCTGCCCGTCGTTGTGTCTGCACAAGTGCAGCTTAGGAGCCAGCCTGGTCGTTGCGCATCTCTGCCTGTGCCCATCCTTCTGTCGCTTTCCATCCACTCCAGCGGTTGCATGCCTCGCACTTGACTGCCCTGGACGGTCCAGATTTCGTTCGCCCCTCCGCACGCCACCACATCTCCGAGCAGCAGCAACTCTGCCAACTTCATGAGGCTGCTAGGCCCGCCCACCATTCCCCTCTGGCAAAACGAACGAGACTCCTATTAGGGATTGTCCGCCTTTCGCCACCCTCACGCTGTCCCTGCATAACGCCAAGTGCCCTTGCCTGCGGTTGAGAGTGCCTTCGCAACTATCCACACCACACGTCAGCGACCACCAGACGCCCATGGACGCCTGAAGGCACAATCCCACCGTGTGCGGGTGCCTCTATTCCTAACCAACAGCCAGGCCGTCGGCGCACTCTTAACACTGCCGCCGGCGTGCTCGCCTGATCGACGACTCCAAGCTCCATGTCTCAATCACCCCAGCAAATCCCCGACGTTGGCTCTCCCATACAGGACGATGGCCGCTTCAACTTTTCTACCGTGTCGCCTGTGCCCGAAGAGCCCTACACGCCCGATCCTGCAACACAGACGGCCGACTTCGCTCTGCCACCGAACAGCTCCACACCCGGGGGTCCTAGTAATGAAGCAGCTTCGGGCACCATGAGCCCCTCCACTACCGACCGTGTCTTTCCAATACGGAGCGCCATCAGCGTCGACCCTACTCCTACCCCAAAGGGCGGCCATTCCCAGGGCGATTACTTCCACCCATACTCGCGGACAAACGACTCGCGCTTCACAAGCGACTCTCGCAGGGCCTCGCAGGGCTCCACTGCGTCACAGGCTTCATATGGCTCGCAGCGTGCTTGGGGGTTGCGCGCCGGAGGTACCAAGGCAGACTCAGGCTCCGATACGCAGCGCTCATCCTTCCGATCGACCCAAAGAGCCGACGGCTCGAGAAGGGCCGCCCCGCAAATACCCGCACAGCTGTTCAACGACCTGTCATCAACAAAGTCAGGAGGAAGCGCACAGGACGGCAGCCGATCCCCGGGTTCCAAAGCCGAACGGGCACCGTCAATTGGGGGTGCTTCCGCTAGGAGCGGCATAAGCAGCTTGGATATGGGCGGACTGGTAACACATCGGTTCAAGCACGTCACAACTGAGGGAGGACACATGGTCATAACAGGCCGTGAGGGCGATACCCTACAGCGCTGCGAGGATGAGCCCATCCATCTCCCGGGCGCCGTGCAAGGCTTCGGTCTCCTACTGGCACTGCAAGACGATCTTGAGGGGAGCCTGCTGGTGCGCGTCGTAAGTGAAAACTCTAAACGCATTCTAGGGCGCACCCCAAAGGAGCTGTTCGCTCTAGAGAGCTTCACAGACATTCTTTCCGAAGAGCAAGCCGACAACCTCTTGGACCACATCGACTTCATCAAAGATGAGGACTCTGACGTCACGTCCAATGGGCCCGAAGTCTTCACCATGTCCATCAAAGTGGCAGGCTACAATCGAACCCGCAAGCTGTGGTGCGCCATCCACATCAACGAGTCAAATCCTGGACTTGTTATTTGCGAATTCGAGCTTGAAGAAGACCCTCTATATCCGCTGGTGCCGCCCAACGACCTTACACCAGAGCTACCGGAAGATACTTTGTCCAGTCAGCCCACGGCGGAGGAGTTGCTCGAAAGCACAGAGATCAAGAGCAAACCCTTGCGAGTCCTGCGTAGCGCGCGTAAAAGGAAGGGTGAAGCTGCTGCAATGGAGGTCTTCAACATCATGTCCCAGGTGCAAGAACAACTGGCTGCGGCGCCATCATTGGAAAAGTTTCTCAAGGTTCTTGTGGGCGTTGTCAAGGAACTAACTGGTTTCCATCGCGTCATGATATATCAATTCGACCAAACTTTCAACGGCCGTGTTGTTACCGAACTTGTTGATCCTCGAGCGACCAAGGATCTGTACAAAGGGCTGAACTTTCCTGCATCTGAT